CAAAATAAAACTCGTGTTAGAAACGCCTGTTCAGGCTTGGGAGCTAATGTATTCTGTGTACTAATGTCTCTTTCGGTTTCTCAGGGCATCAGAAAGTATAAATCAAGCCCCATAAGACACAAGATATGCAAAATCATCTTCCAGATATCTCTCTGCCACAAGTCCAATGTTGTAATGTGCACTATAGGTAGAAAACGCTACTGTTTGTCAAGGTGATGAGTATGAAACAACTACTCAACATGCAGGCTTCATTCGATGCCAATGAATTTGAAGAAAAGAGTTTAACTCATTCAGAAATACACCTAAAAAGCAAAACAGACAAATCCAGAAAGGGGTCGAGACAGGAACATGAAGCGAGCTGCGTGTTTCTGCTTATCGAAAAACAAAGAATATTTTTTCACTGTGACTCGGGTGTAACTAGATTGTTATTCAGCAGCAAAAAAAAAACACTGGTTGCAGGTCAGATTCAACCAAAACTCTAGTGTGACAAAAGACAGATAAATACAACTTAACTATACTGCACTGTAATGTACCTGATTTCAAGTATTTTAGATTTTTTTGTAATGTGGAAACCACCGAGTTAATGAGAAAATGACACGACTTGAAGCAAATTTTCAACTTTTTTTTTTTTTGTAGACTTTCACACACGTTTACTTCAGGAACTTTGTACACAGTCATTGTTATTGCATTGTTTTTGCATATCTTGTGGATTGCAGGTTCCCACCTGCTTATATCGTTATACTGCAACGCAACACCTCAACGGTCACGCTAACGGCAATGCTGCTTGACTTCACGCCGGGACGCCACAAGGCTCTGAATCTCTCACACTGGCAAAAGAAAGACACAAAGCAAGTCTGGAGGGGCACTTCTGATATGCACATACTGCTTTGTGCATATGTCAGGATAAAAGAAGTGAACGTTTTTCACCATAAATAAGTTACAGTATATATAACATCTGTCATTGAGACAGTCCCCATATCTGTCAGTAGATGAGTATAAATATTTAAGAGTAGCGTCTTCCAAACTATTTCAACAACAAAAAAAAAAATAAAACAGAAACCAAGACACAATGATAGGCAGTGCTTATTTTATCTGAATTTAAATGCTGCTCAGGATTCAAACAAACCATATCTCTCCACCCGAGACATTCAGTTGAAACAGCTTAAAACATAAATGAGCAAGAAATGAACTTTCAGTTTGGGTTTCCAGATGGGTTCAAATTAACTGTGAGAAATGCTAAGGTCATCTTAATGAAGCCGCAGTTTGGGAAAGTGAGGACCTGGACTTCAGGGTATGATCAAAAACACAAGACGTTAACAGCACTGCAGATATAAACCCACTCAACATTCACATTTAGATTGCATAATAATGACAGAAGTCTGTTACTGGCACAGGATGCAGTGTATGGCAGTGTGTTTATGCATACTCTCCGCTGCCACAAACCTGCTCTGTTTCACATGTAGAGCACGACAGTGATGGGAAATCCAAGAAGAAAAAAAATCTTTTGGGCCTATGTTGATATACTATGGTGTTTCTGTGTGAGCTGTAATTTATTTTTTTATAAAAATGGGACATCAGATGACAAAAGCTTTTCCAACATGTTGGAATTTAGTTAAAACTACTGTTGTCAGTAATGGCTTAAAAATATGTATGACTTTGGTTCAGCTTTAGCTGTTTCAATCAAATATTTCGATGTATTTACATCTGAGTTAAATTTGAGCAATTTTACTTCATTCTCTTTGCATTAAGATGCTTATCTAAATTGTTTGTTCAAAAAGAATTCTCAAAAGTTTCTCAAAAAGCTGCATCTCAGATCAAAACATGCTATGACCTTGTCTCAAGTAGATCCATTTTATAATTAAGTAATAAATGTGAATTTATTATTTTAAAAAATGTACCTGCTATTCAGTTGGAGACAAAAAAATCTTATAGCTGTTCTCCCTTCAAGGTGACTAAATAATTTTTCCTGATACACAATCGTACAAGATAAATGACTCTAGCTCGTATTACAATTTATCCAGCAACCAATGTAAGCAGTGAATGAAATCACTGAAAATCCATGTTTCTCGATTGTGTGTTGGGAATAAAATATTTTTGTGATAAGGGTCTCAAAGAGGTTTTATTAAAAGTCTTGCAGCAACTGGACAACAGCCCTAATCATTCATGGATGTGTCACTGTGGCGATATAAATTTAAACTTTTCTGTCGTTATAAATAAGGACAATTGCAACTGTAGTAATTAGGGATGTCCCGAGTCTGAACACTGAACTCAACTCCTGAGACCAAAAATAGTGGTAGATTTTAGGTGTCCTAAGCAGCGGAGCAAGTTATGTTCGAAGATGATGAGCTGGAACCATACTGGCATATTCTATGAGCCACTTTATAACAGCTTTTAGCAAAACAGAGAGTAAACCTGCTAGCATTTGCTTAGCACTACAGCAAACTCCTCAGTATGAAAACATAAGCGTTAGCAAGATGTGAGCTTATTGAAGGCTATTTATATGTGCCAAGTCAGATTTAGGTGAAACATAGGATGGTCTTGCAGAAAATCCTTTAGCGAGAAAATATCTAATGTTATCTCCAGACTGTTATTGGTGAGGTGTATAAAGTTGCCACACGTCCCCTAAAATACAGAATCATTGGTGAATTAATAATTGATAATGGATTTCTCCCATTTTCAAATCGATACAAGACAGAGTTTTAACAAGTATTTTGTTTTCTGTGAGATTTATTCTGCTTTTGGCTATTTGCCAAACCTAAATATTTCAGATAACCAAAGACTTTTTAATATCAGTAAAAAAGATTACCTGAGTGAATACAAAATGCAGTTTTCAAATGATAATTTCTTTTGCCACTCCTGGGAGGATTTATCACTGTTCTGTGTTTTCTGTGTTTGTGGATTATGTGGTTTGCTGGAGTTGGGAAATTACTGTAACCCTCTTTAGGCTGTATTGAGACGTCACTGACTTTGTTTCTCTTCCGTTCTTGAATGTTTTTAGACTTGGACATGTTGTAGCCTACTTAGTGTCATCAGACAGGTTCCATTGAGTGATTTTTAAATGTAATTGTGCTGGGAAAATAGCACTGAAAAAGGCAATTTATCATAGTTGATTAAAGATTTATCATGACGATTATAATAAAGTGCCAATTTGAAAATATTTATATTGGTTTTCAGGCATATACATGGTATTAATCTTGATGAACTTTTGATCTTTCATTCTGTATTGGCAAAATGTCAATATTCTTGTGTTGTTTGAATTGTTTGCAGGAGGCAAATACTTCTGATTAAGACATCCCCATGTGAAAGGCTTCCTTACTTCTGGTCAAATACTATACACTTCCTGATCAGCAGTTTTATCTGCCTCACCCCAGCCTATATCCAAATGGGGCAGTAAAGAAAAGCTATGCAATGACTAAAGTTCAAAATGACACTTTTCTCTCTGCCACTTGGCTGAGAAAAGTAAAAACCGTGCTAAAGTAACCACAAAGCTTTGGAAGTATGCCTGTCCACGTTAACCCTGTGTTAAGGAGGCCCATTTCTACACAGACACACCCTCACACACATAACATACTTGTAATGCTACCTTAATTTACTGTATAGGCTTAAAATCAGCTTTTTATAGTACACAAGAAACCACACACCCACACCCATGCATTCCCACAGATTTTCTCTTCTGGAAAAAATAAATAAATAAATATAATCTGTAAAAGGTGCATACAGATAGAGAGAAAGACCCTCCCACACACACACTCTATCTCACACACTCATAAGTTGTACTAAAATGCAGACACGCATATGCACACACATTTATAGGTACACTCGCCCGCACACACTATGCCCTGCTTCAATACTTAAAACCTCTAAAAAATTTTTCCTAAAAATAAACCGAGCAAAAATACATTTATAAGACCAGCACCCCGATTGTGCAAACAAATCAAAGATAAATTAAAACAATAACGTCATGAATACAAAACAAAATATTGTCATGGCTAGCCAGTTTTGCACAATATTGAACTGTTAAATACATAGTGGGCACGGTCTGTAGAAAGAGTGTGTGGCAGCAAATCCGACAGGATTCCAAGCTGACAGGAAGAGGAGGTGCCCCAGAGAAGGAAGTGAGGTTGATTGACGGCATTTCTGCTGCGGAACACCCCCACCCCTTGACCAGAGTGTTCTTTTTATTTCTTCCTTTCAATTGGTCACTCCCATTCTTCCCTCCACTTTACCATCTGGGTAGCCCTGCATGACAAACATTCGCCTCCTCAAGTGCTGAAAAAAGCACAGAAATCCAGCTATAAGGGGTGAGTGGTTGTAAGATAGCAAAGGAGAGGGAGGAAGGCTAGGATAGAGAAAGGAGTGAGGAACAGTGAGGTATGAGGCAGAGAAGGGGGGGGGGGCTTTCTGTCTCTGCTTATCCACCAATCGCTCCTCTAGTTTCCTGTTTGGTGGAGCCAAACAAGGAAAGGGTGGATGAGGTGGAGCTATGTCGAGGTGAGTTGGTCTCATACTGGAGTCCAGTTGAGAAAACCAGCTGAGAAAAAAAGAGCCAGCTATCTCCCTGTTGTCCAGGAAGTTTCCCCCCTTCCTGTTACAGCCCTGTTGTGGCTGTTAAATCATTCCTCCAATCCTCCCTCCCACACCTGGCTGGGGGCAGCGTGTCCCCTAAATCCACTCTCGGGCTGGTAGGACTGTGCTCCAGGCTCCCGTAGCTTTGGAAGAGGAGAAACTTGATTTAAATGGGGTTGTTGTCCCCATTTTACACAATACAGCGCTTCATCATCTTTGAACGAAGAACGAGTTGACCTTTGACCACAGGTGGGGTTGTGGTCAGATGGTAATCTTCAAGTGACCCTCCATGAGCTGGTCTCTTGTCCTCTACCTGGCGTCATGGCGGCCAGTCAGACAACAATAACACACCACTAAATTAGGCATAGGAAATGAAAACATTAACATACAGTCCATAATAGGACTTCCTGCTTCTTTGTTTGATCTTTCTTCCATTCAGTCTGTCCTTTGTCTTTTTTTTTTTGCTTGTCTCCATTTTCCTGCTCATCCCAGGTTGAGGACATGATAAAACTGTGAGGCACTTTAGAGCCACACTCTGACACGTGTGGTGAACACACACATACGAGTACAAATAGAGAAAAACACACACACAGACACACAGAAGCACACACTCAGATAGTATATAGTCTGATATACTTTACTGCAGACACACATACTAACTCAGTTGAACCCGACAAAGTCTTGTTGTGTTAAAGGTGCATCGCTGGCCGCCATTGTCCAGAGTGACAGAGTGAGCCAACCAGCCGCCACACTGTTCGCCAGCACTGACAAACCTCAGCCTCTGATGGGCCAGTTTGCTGATCAAAGCTGCCGAGGCGGCACCTACAAGCTCGTCACACACTCCAAATCCTCATCCTCCAAAAGCCTGCTGTTCTTCTGCCGTGCTCCTGCCACCACAGCTGAACTTCTGTGGGGCCTCTCTTCTCTCACATTTGGCTCTTCCTCCTCCTCTTCTCGCCCTGCCCCTCTAGCTAGCAGTTCCTGTCGCTCCTCTATAGAGGATGGACCGTGGATGTAGCCCCGGCCCCCTCCAGCCTCTGCCCCTGCATCGCCGGGACTCAGGCCGGCGACTCGGTCCCTGTGCGTTGCAGCTGCTGCTGCATTGTGGCAGGGGAGGCTGCCGTTAGGGCTGTGCTGAGAGGTGGAAGAGGTGCTTGATGTGGGGTTTGTGGCGGTGTTGCTGTTGAGAATGTTGCTGGCTGCATGCTCCATCTCCTCGATGGTCATGTCGCAGGCATCAGCTAACTCGGCTTTGGTTGCCTCAATGAAAGAAGGGTCCTGGGCAAAATGACCCAAACCTTCTGATATAAGAACCTTTGAAACAAAGAGCATAAGGAAGAAAAAGGGAGGAGGCAGAGAGAGGAGTTAGTGCCTTTCTAAAGCCTTTGAAAATCATGTTTACTCTACAACCACAAGTACATTTTAACAAGATGTTGTCTGATGGGCAAACATGAAGTCCTACATAATTAAGAATGAAAATAAGCAGCATTTAAATGATATGCACTGTAAGTCTTTTGAGAGTTAAGATTTTCCTCATTCTTCTTTAGTTTGGTCTTTGGGCAAAGCCTCTGTCTGTTTTCTCCATACCGCTTAAATCCTTTATGTCCTTCCCACTGTATTAAAATACCCAGAAACTTTTTTTTATCCACACTGACCCTTCGTACACTTTTATGAGGTTTTGTGTGATTTGGGGAATTCGGGAACTGAAGAGCTGATGTCAGACTGTCTTTGGCTAATATGAACAATACCTTTTCAGTGAGAAATAGAACATTTGTACTGCAGACTCATAGCAAGTGATAACAATTTAAAGATCACAAAGAAATGCAGGATTTGACAGCTTTTAGTCATTGTCATAAAATTTTCAACAAGCTGATTTTTCTGATGGTTCAGTAGACTACTAATTAGATTACTTCTGAAGATAGTTACATAGTTTTGCATTTGAAATCATCGAAGTAAATGGTTCTGAATACAAATACACGTGGAACTTTTCAAACGTCAGTAAAAACGTTCAAAAACCATGTACCATTTTTCCACTTCGGAATTATTCGCTATCTTGAGCTGAAGTGTCATATTAAGATGTTTAAATACTTTCACAAAGCATTATGACTGTTTTTCTTTCAATATGTATGCTAATAGATGTAGATGAGATGCAGGAGAGACGTACCGCTTCCACTAGACTGCCTGCACTGCCATGAGACAGCGAGCTGGGGTCCTTCCCCAAGAGCGATGGTACAGTGAGTGACACCGGCCGTGGTGCCCTTTGACTGGGAACCGGCGTGGGGCTCGGACTGTCCACTGGGCTATTCCCATTACTGTCGTTGTACCTAAGCCCAAGGCATTTATTTGATTTTAAAAAAACAAGAGGTTCTGAATGTACACTACCAAATGTTATTTAATATTAAACCATTGACGTTTCGGTCTTACCAGGGCCCACAATTTACAGAAGGCAGGCTGGTATTGAGCTTCTCATGAGAGTTGGAGCCCTCTAGTCTTAGAGAAGGAACTCGCTGGTAGGAGGCATCACCGCATTGGTCTACAAACACAAAAAAAGAGGAAAATAGGAAAGAAAATCACAACAAGTACAAGGGGAACTCACTGTGAGTAAAACATCCAAATTCTGGTTTCAATTATTTATTTTCCTTTTGTAGAAAAGGGAATTTTATATGTACCTGTGGGGTTAGCTGCAGGCGTGGAACACAGTCGGCTGAAGAGGGTAGGTGAGTGACTCCTTCTCAAAAGGGGACTCAAACCTGCCACTGCAAGAGCCTGGAAGAGAAAACAGAAGAGGGCAAAAAGGCAATTATAATGCAAGTGCAGTTAGTAAAAAAATGTTTTCTTCAAAATTTCAGTTTTTTGACTACAGGATCGCTCCAAAAGGTAGTTCTATCACTAGAAAGGTAGAGGTCAGTTTCCTGAAGCTGACCAGGTTCTTTCCAGAGCTTCTGTGAAACCTAACAGGAATTTCTGACTAAATTTTTCGTGACCACTTAAATCGTTAGTTACTTTCCCAGATATTCAACAAAACTTGGAAAAAAATCAGTGATAGTTCCAAAAACTACCTGTACACTACAAAAGTTACAGAAAGTACTTGATGTTCTACAAGCATTCCAGAAAAGCACACACAGGGTCAGTGTGACCTCGCTAGACCGCGCACAGAGCAAAAAACCCACAAGATCGAAATGACTCCATTTCTTAAGACCGGGGGAGGGTCAAAAGATTGCATCAGTCTGTTTTTTTGTTTAGCTAGATATAATACTTTTGAAAAATGTCGTCGACGTTTACTACCTGGTGATGTACAAGATGTAAAGGTACAGCAGTCTTCTGCGAGACATCTGGCCTTGTCTGCCTCCGGAGACACTCCAGATGGAAGGAAGATCTCCGTGCTGACAAGTCACAAAAAAATGCAAATGTACAAATTACAGCCTGTATATTCATACAGAAGGTGGCTGCACAAATTTCTGTGTACATGAATCTGTGTACATACTCAGGGTAGTTGGACAGAGGAAGACTCTTCGTGGAGACTGCCACCCTCCTCCTTTTTGCTCCCCTACTTCTTCTGTTTCCTCCATAGGAGTGAGCTGTTTACATGTTTCATCATGATACACCAACCTAATAAGGGTACAAATAAATGCACAAGAAGAAATGAAATCAGCCTTGTGCTCTGATCAGATGCAGGCTAAAGGCTAAACTGTGAGTGTCTTTCAGCAGTACATGTCAGAAGAAAGTGAGTGCTCATCGTCCTGGTACTCCCTGTCGTCACCATAACTCTCATCGTACGTCTCCTCTGTTGACCCCTCCCCTCTCTGGATGATTGGCAGACGACTGTCACTCGAGTCCGAGCTACAAATGAATCGGCCAGCGACCAAACAAGCACAGCAAACAAACACAAACAAAATTAACACAGACACACATCACAGATGGAGGCACATTGAGAAACATATGCAAACACATAAAAAAAGCAGCTGATTAGCAAAACAGCAATGAGCTTCAGAGGAGAGGGATTTAAAAACCTGGAGTGACTTGACTACTGCAAATGGAAAACGGTAGTAGGGGAAAAAGCCTGCAGAGAAGCAACTGGGATTTATGGTTGTTTTGTTGAAGCAAAAAAGGTGAAGAGCACTGAAGACAATACTTGGAATATGAGAAATGATAGCCAGACTGAAATTCAGACATCTTTGAAAAGCATATGAGAGAATAATGTTCAGTTGAATTTCACCGGCAAAGGCTCTGACAGCATTCAAAGAACAAATTGAAGCACATTTTGTTTGATCATAATGTTTTTAGAATATTGTCTGAGGACACTGAAGAGTAGTCTTTTTAAATGTGTTTTTGTGATTCATTCTTCCTGATAGTTAGTATTTGAGACTCCTTCTGTGTCACCATATTCATGTTTTCCTGCTTTCCTCATGCTTAGAAAAATGCTTAATATCTTGGGTCCATAGTGTCATTCCATGTTTTTCTGATTTGGCATTTGAAAAGAATGATTACAAAGTCAATATGTCGAAGGCTGTCAGTTCTGTTTCATCGCAACAAATTGCAGAGGTTTTTTTTAAATCAGGAAAGGCTTTCAAACATGTCTTATCAGTTGGATCCGTTTCATACTCCAGATTTTCGCTTTAAGGAAACATTCTGACATTTAAATTTCTGTCCTTTTCTTCTTCACCAGAGCGTTTGTATAAAAGCACAAATTTCCCACAACCTGCCTTAGCACTTGAAGTTACCATGTCTTGAATATATTGCAAAAAATGAATTCTGAAATATGTTTTGTTTTTGTTTTTTTCTTATTTGTGCAACAAAATGTAAATATATTCAGAAAACATTCTGGTAAAGAAAAATAAAATAAAATGTCAGCTATTTCAGGTCTCCACAGCAAATTCTGGGTTAGATCAGAGTTCAAGTAAAATGTTAATAAAACCATTCAGGATGACTGATCAAGTCATAATGAAGCCTGTCCTGCTGCTATGTAGATCAGTCTCTCTGAAAGCTTACATTGATTTATGTAAATCACCAAATCTCATTTGTGGTAAAAGAAAAGGGAGTAAAGAAACTTAAGATGAAAGAACAACATGAAATACATAAATCGTAGTTTTTTTAAGAACTTTAATATTCTTATTGGCTATCTGATGCTGGGCCGGATCGCCAACATATGTGGATAAAGTGCTGTCTGAATATGATCGTGCAATTGTTCAAATATCTAAATATAGAAAATATCCAACTCAAAAATATTTGGGTTACCAGTCAGATGGTCAAAATTTGACATACAGGTGTAGAAGGATTTTAAGGCTTGATTTTAAGATGTATTTATTGAACAGCTTGTATATGTTCTTGATGATATATTCCACAAAACGGATTGATATGGAGCTCAGTGCATGGCCCAATTTTCTGAGCTAGTTGAATCCAGATATTTACCTACATTGAAACTTACATTAAATCAGGCAAACATTTTTTTCAGTTTTAGGTCACGATTACCAAAACATATAAGCCTAAGTACAGAAAAAAGATAATCTTTAGAGGATTTTTTCATTATTTTTATACATTTTCTTTGTAATGGACATTCTGCAACTTGACTTTGTTGTCCTGAAGACATTTCCTAACTAATTTGAAGGTATATTTAAGGTCATTGTCCATCTGGAGGACCAATATCCACCCAAGCTTTGAATTGAATTGAGTAATTTTACTTTCTTCAGACCACAAAGGCATGAAGTTGCCTTTGTGTGCATTTCCACTTCAACCTATTTGCTATTATGTACTCACAGATTTTTCTGTGGACTATAACCCAAAGTTATTCATGAAAAATTTGCCAGAGAACTGTAAGAAATGTGCTGTTCAACAAATTCTATATTGTATAGACTTCCTGGCTTTTGTTTTTGTTTTTTCGAAAAGAAAAATACCTAGATGCAATGCTACTTGATTATCTATTGGCTGAAGTTTGCAAAGTAGCCAATCCAGGAGCATCACTCCTTGGTTCTGATTGGCTGGCACAGATGTTAAAGTCTTTAGATATTAGCTTCAGCAATAATGAAGATTGTGTCTGCTGTGCACGTTAATGCATGCTCAGTTATATTTGCAACCTCCTCTATGGTTTTAGTTTGGTTTAAAAAATGACAGTAAGCTTTAGAATATTTAATAAGGTTTCTGTGGAGGTGTGGAAGCTAGTTATGTCTAACCCAGACCTGCTGTGATGTTCAATAAAAGAGCAGCAGCAGAAGCCCTCAACAGGAGAGGTTTGGGCATGTTGCACCAAACAGTCCATCTGTGGCTTTGGTAGCTGATTTTGAAGCTGCACTGCGAAGCATGGCTTTTGCTATAGCAACTACCACATTATATGCATAGCAGCAAGTGGCATTGTTGCACCTTGACAGCTATGCTTCTTTGTAAAGCATCATAAGATTTTTTTTTTTCTGTGCGCACCCGGGAAGCTTAAAGAACCCACACACATTCCCTCTCTGACCCCTGGCAACATACCGCATGAGGGTGTCATAAAACATCCTGCTTGCCAACAGAAACAAGAGAGAAGGAGAGAAAGCAGGTGATGAAGAGAAGAAAATAGTGGACTCATTTATGTCTGGAGGCAATTGAATATTTGTAAAATTATGTCAACTCTATATTGAGGATAAACTTTAAAGGCAAGAGTAGGAAAGAAATTAAAGCTCTGAGGGCAACAGTCGCGTGAAGATGCAGTTAGGTTTTTAAAGGGGATTTCAAGACTCACCTTTTTGGAGGGAAACACCAGGCTGATCTAGGTAGTAGGATGGGTGTGAGGGGCTGGTCTGTGTGCCCATCCACCGTGCTTATGGACGGACTTGGGAATCGACTGACGCCCTGGGTCGTCACTCCAGCCATTCCAGTGTTATTGGCGTTGTTGATGTTGGCGTTTGAACCTGATGAGGAGTATGATGAAGGGGTGAATGTGGTTGAGTCCATCAGCTTCTCGTGTGATGGGCTTTCCCCTTCGCACGGAGAGCCTTTCTGACTTATGTGCAAGGGACGTTGAGTTGTGAAGGACTGCGGAAAGGACCCACGGCCGTCAGTCTGGTTGTAGTAGTTGACGTGGTTGCCAAACAAGCCACCCGTTCGCTGTTGTGTAAAAACACAGAGGACTTAGTTACAGGCGTAGAAAAACTTCCTGAGAACAGGTCAAAAACTCTTTCTATATTTTAGTAATGCAATGCCTTTCATAAGTAGTAATAGCTCTTGCCTTTTTCACATTTTGTCAATAAACTTTGTATATTGATGAGAATTTGTTTCAGAAACCAATTCAGAACCATGCATTATTGAAATGATATATTTCTTTACCTTACCTCCTCTATTACAAATGTTTTTGTAATAAACAAATGCGTTTGTATTCTGTCTAATTTACTCTGAACCTCTGAAAAGAACAATACAAGTACTTTGGATGTATTTGTAACAAGTTTTAAAAATGTTTTATTTCTGTCCTTACATTTTACAACCTTCCACCACTTTGTGTTGGCCTATCACAAAAAAACCCAATAAAATACATTGAACTTAGCTTTTTGAATAGAATGTGAAAAAGATGAGGTGATTGCAGTACTTTGTAATTGTAGCACAGTAATGGCTAATTATCAGAAGTGGGACCCAGTCATTGTGTTGGAAGTAACAAGTAAGTCTCAAGTCTCTCCACCCAAAACTTGATTCAAGTCTTGAGTAATTTTGATCATTTATTCAAAAATAATAATTTTGAGTTTTTTTTTAACTATTTGAAAAGTTGCTTTTGTTTTCCAAAACAACCAGCAAGAGAAGGTGACCTTTTTTTTTTTTACAGTAAATATTAACCAAAACAAACAAAATATCCAGTAAATTTAGGAAATATTGAGCAAACTGATCCGTAAGTCAATTTCTATACAAAATACAAGTTATTTTCTTTTTAAACAACTGGAGTACAAACCAAGTTAGATTATATTTTATTATATTAGTAACATCAGATGTTCTGCTGGCTTGGTGTTTTATTTGTAGTCAAAGCGAGATATCTCATGATCTCATTGGAGCCTGAGGCTTTTCATGCTGTCATTAAGGTTTGATTCTTCTCTAGGTTTCAGCCTACATGTTCCTAATTCAAATAAACATTTTTTTCACCCTCCTTGCAGTCTGTGCAAGCAAATTCAATAATTTATAGTATCTTTGTAAAGTTACTTGTGGGATTATGAGAATTTAAAAGCCACCTCTTTTATCTTCTAACAAACTTTCGAATTTAAAAGCCACCTCTTTTATCTTCTAACAAACTTTCTGTTTGGTTCATTGGTGTGAAAGTCCAAATCAAGTCTAAGGTCTTTGATTTTGTCAAGTCTAAAGTTTGTTAAATTTGTGACTTGAGTCTGACTTAATTCGAAGTCACATGACTTGAAGCCACACCTCTGATATTTGAAGCAGTAATCCTTTACTACACGAAAATGCAAAGCAAAGACCATCAGTCATTAATCAATCAAAGCAGCAATAAAGCCAAAGCTAAAAGAAAAGGGACAAGCGCTATGTCATAAAAAGTCTGATGACAGAGTAGTTGTTTCATTTCGAGATCAAAAGTAAACCAACTATTCAGTTTTGTTTCTTCATTAATAAGAGGTAAACTTTTTCAATGTAAAAATACAGTTACAACCTAAGTAGAGCATACAAAAACCTAAAATTATGTTGAAAATTAAAGACTTGCAACTCGATATTTCACTGAAGAGTAAAAAAAAATCTCTCTATACACAAACTTTTTTTCTTTGGTAAACAAAGATAGTTCAGTTTCAAAAGCAGTCACCATATTTGGTAGTCACTATAGACCTGAAGTTGGAGTGATTACCAATCCTACAAGACTGCACAATTGAAGTTTAGGTGTTGGGGGAAAAGCATGTCTTCAGATGAACTAACTGTCTGCTGTTGAAAAGACTTGTGCATTTGTTGCTGGTTCAGTTCAGCAAATAGCTGGATTTGGACTTTTGCCTGTTTTTCTTGGTGAAAATGATTAAATTCTGCCTGTCCTAACGTTGAAAAACACTAATATTAAGCTTTGGTTCGGTCCACTCTTCTTTTTGCATCATCACTTACTTACTGCCAAATTATATGATGCAGCAAAGCTATATGGTGGGGCATGCTGCTTACGTAAGTCTCTGTGAGGCATTGAGCACATGCAAGCATGTATCTTGGTATAGATGGACCCTCAAGCTGGCGCCAATTGTCTCTTTCTCTCTCTCTCTTTGGAGAGTGAGTGGGGGTGTGTGTATCCAACCTTTACCCTGAAGATATCGTCCTCAGATGCAGCTGACACGGATTCCTTCATGCCTTTATCTATCTCCTCCTCCACGTTCAAGTCTCCAGAGATGGCCCTTCTGATCTCTGGTCCAATGTCATGAAGCGTCCGCAGGCCCGCCTTCACACAAATCAAGCACCATCAATTTCCACTCTCTGCTTCCCTTTTTTAAAAAATATACAATTCATCAAAGCAAAACACAAAACTCTAGTGAGTACCTGCAGAGAAAGGGCAGTTTTGGGAGGCACCTTGGCCACCAGGCCTTGTTCTTTTCTCTTCTTAAACTTGCGGAAATATTCTTGGATGAGGAAGGTGGCGTAGAACTTTCCAACTGTTACTTCATCATCTGAAAACCAATTTAAAAAGTTTTAAATTTAAAAAATAGTTTTAAATAATCCAGCACTTTAGTTACAGAGAAATCACAGACATTAAGGAGAGTACGTACCACCAGCAGGGGGCACTACTTGATCCAACAGCTTCATGCTAGTTCTCTTCCAGATCTTTTTCACAATTGCTCTTAGCTCCTCGTTAGCCTGCTCCAGATTACCTGGACAAACAATACACAACACACAATCAGTATATTTGAAGAGAAGCTGCCTCACTTACAACTGAGGCCTGAAAATGTGAAAATACCAAAAATAACCCAGTTCAAACAGGCGTACTTGTATTATTGCACCTAAAAATGTTTTTCCTTTTAACCACCAAAGTGACTTAATTGTCTTCCATTTCCTCGGAAGACTATTGTTTACATGTTTTCTATCTTGATTTGACTAGTTTTGTGGAAACTGTTTGCTCTTTTTTGTGTGTTACCTTCTGTCTTGATCCTGAGTGCAGTTCTGACCAAAGCAAACAGTGTGGCATTGAACATAACCGTTCCATCGCTGTTCAGAGGCATATTCATCGATACCAGGCGCTACAGGAGACCAAACAGTCATGAGTGTAACAGTGAAGACGTACAGTAGTGACAAACAGTTGTGGAGCAGATGGAAATAGTTATATTTTTAATGTTGTGCACATTATACATTACAGATAAATTAAAGAAATTAGAATAAATTATTTTTACCTTACATGCCACCCTGTGTGGACAGAGCTTTCCAAAGCCGAGGGGAGGCTGAATTCTCCGGAGCAAGGTGACCACATCAAGGTGTTTTATCCTCCCCCTGAAAACAGTGAAGAAGTCGTACTGTAAATTTGACCATATATCTATTTTCATGCTGATTTTATTCGTGCTCACTTAAAACTTACTTAGCCTCTGGGTCGTATTCGGCCCAGATTCTCTTGAACTCATCAAGATGATGAGGCCCCAAAATTGACCAGTCACGTGTCAGATAGTCAAAGTTGTCCATTATTACAGCCACAAAAAGGTTGATGATCTGGAAAAGGAGGACAAAATCAGTCTCATTCCTTCCAGTTATCAATAAATGACATTTAAAATTTTAAGCTTCAATATTACAATCTGAAAAAGTAGAATAATTTATAAATGAAGTTCCCTTGCTCAGAAAAATAACTTTTTGTCGTTTTGTTTTCTGCACTTACCAGAAAGGCACACAGCATGTAGAAGCTGACAAAGTAAATGATGGCAAACTGGCTGCCACAATCATCATGGTTTGTGCTGTTTTCATTGGTTGACCCTTTCTCGCATGGGTGATTGGGCGAACACGCCAGCATGATCTCTTGCCATGCCTCACCAGTTGCACATCTGATAAGCACAACAAAAATACAAACATGCAGCATGCAGAGATTCATGCCAAAATGTTTAAATACACAAAAAAAGAAAAGCAAAATTGCATGTAAAGATGTACGTAAAAAAACATACATACACATACATAGAGGGAGACAAGAAAAAATACAAGTGTGAGCAATTTCAATAGCAACTTCACACTTTTATATACAGTGCCTTGTAGAAATATTCATGCCGCTTAGACTTTTTTCTTTTTTTTTTACATTTTCTCATTAATATGATATTTTTTATTGTACTTTATTTGAAGTTCATCATCACAAAGTAGTGCAGAAGGAAGATGAAACATACAAATTAGAATACAATGAAACATTAATAGTGTATCTTGCATTTTTTTTTAAATTCAGCACCATATTTTAAACCAAAAAAATAATAGTAATATCAGCATTAATACAGCTGTTCTGTGAAGGCTTTGGATAATGCTCTGGAGAACACTGAAGAACAATGGGGTCAACCTTATGAACAAAGAAAGTCAAAAACAATGACATTCGCTCTGATTGCGCTAACCTGAAGAGCAGCAGCACTGCCTGAGGGAACGTCTGGAAATTGTTGTTCCTGTTGATTTGCGTGTTGTCCCGCAGCGCTATCTTACCAAACATCTGCACAGTAGGAGCGGAGGGGGGAAAAGGGGACAGTCACAGCGTTCAGCAAATGATGTCAGCATCGTCAATAGGGCGTCAGAATTAGAGGCTGGCTGTCTCCAGCAAATCAAATCAAACTGCAACTCCATATCAAGAGGGAAAGAGACAATACAACAGCTTACGCAAGCAAAGAAAATGCAAGATAAGGGCAACAAAAATAAAAGAGAGAAGAAAACTGGTCAAAAGAAGTGAAGAATGACGATTTGACTGACTCCAAGTGGACAGACGAAACATGAAGTTCTGCTACAGGAGACGAAAGGAGAAAGCTGACCACAGGGTTCGGACCAGCAAGGGGAACAGCTTACCTGCATACCGATGACGGCGTATATGAAGAAGAGCATCACTATTAGCAGAGCTACATAAGGCAGAGCCTGAAAAGAGGAGAAAAACATCAGTGCCCAGTATTTAGAAGTCCAACACTGCAGACCATTCACTTTTAGTTCCCTTTTCTTATGTAGTTATAAACCTATTGCTATGAGAGGTTAAAAGTAACTAGGTGGCTCTTTAGGAGGTAAAAGTGAATGTGTCTGAAGTGGCACAGCACCAAAAACAAGCCAGCAGAAACCATCTGACGACACAGAAACCTTAAGACAGGAACTGATCTCTAAATTTCAGGCATCAGACCAGCTTTACCAGAGATCAACTGCTGAGCTGTTGACTAAAATAGCTCCTGCACATTGGTTAGTCAGGCCAAATCATTGTTTTTAACAACTACTTAAGAGTAAATATTATATAGAGAGCCAGAAAACGTCATAAATTCTAAAACAATAAACTGATAGGTTGATGAGTGATTTTGGGATGCCCCCATACAGTAGAAATGCACAACCAAATACTGATGATGAAGTTGCCTTTAAACTTACAGTGCAACGAAAGAACATGTAACTCTTATTTAGAAATAAATCTCCCTCACTTTTTCCTGGAAAAGTGAGGGAGATTTATAAAAGCCAGAGCTATAGAGGGCAAAGTTTTCTTTTATAAATGTTTCTGTTTAAAACTCTCTTTGCTTCTGGATTATGATGCAATTGGAGTCTTGGCTTAAGGTTATTTTTGAGGACTGTAGGTGGAAGTTTTAGAGTATTTTACAGTTAATGCCATAGAAATTGACAATACCTATAGAGGAGTCAGCAATCAGCTCATGGAAGCAACTATGAACTAATCGTAAGCCTGAAGTTTCTTAATCATTCATTTTTGCATGTGAGAGTTTTATGAGAGCAGAAACAAGAATTTGAATGCTGCCAGAACTGTAAATTGTTGAATTACTATTTTGAAACGATGAGTACTTCATTGATGTTTTGGGGCCTACATGACTTTCAAGAAACTGCTTTTAAATCTCTTCATAGGGTATTACAAGAATTGGCCCAACTTACCAAGCACAAGAGAGAGAACAAATTCCCTTTTGTCTTTTATCTACAAGTCAATCAAATGATTTAGATTTTTTTGGTGCTTTGTTTGAACTTATGTTAACTTCTGCTTATCTTGCCTATAGGGAAATGATGAGCTTTTAGAGTTAGTGATAGTAGGATGTGTAAGAGTTAAAAGAATTGAGAAGGGAGCTTGAAGATGAAAAAGAAGAGGTGGAGATGGGGAAGAAGCAGAAAAAAGTGTTTATAATTTCATCCCATTTCCCTAACTATGCTGCTGGAATCCAAACCTTCTCTCCATTACCTCCCTCATCCCATCTCCATGACTTTCTGCAAAATAAAGAGCAGGGAGGGATGAGGTAAGGAAAGGAGACATTGTTGGGTTTCAATCGCGTAATCTTAGACCCTCAAACAAGAGCATAGTTTTATAAGAAAGTGCAAAGTGAGTAAGATTAGCACTTGTGCGCTGCCCCATTTTCTCTAGCATGTAGTGTCCGGTTCTCCCCTCACTTGGAAAGATTTGATGAAGGTCCACAGCAGGGTCCGAATCCCTTCCCCGCGAGATAGCAGCTTCACCAGCCTCATCACGCGGAACAGCCGGAAGAAGGTGATGGAGATCCTGGCGTTCTCTTCAGAATTCTGAAGTCCCTTTTGGTGGGGTTTGGTGTTTTTTTTCAGAGGAAAAAAAAACACAGGACGCATGGAAACACATGCAAATTGATAAGGGAGGGAAGCACACGCACACACACACACACACACACACACACACACACACACACACACACACACACACACAGTTCACACAAACGGGTATAAATGGGCAATGACAGACATGCATATATAAACAAAGATATATGAACCACACAGGTCGTTTGTATGCATATTACCATAAACACAAAGACGTGAATGTAAATATGCATAACACACATATAAACACACACACACAAACACACAGAGTTAATAAATGGAAATCAGCGTCCTAAGGAAATCCCATCAAAATCAAACAAGAAAAGAGATCTGGGAGAGAATCGGGCAGTCATGCTTATTTATGTGACTTCATGGAAAAATTATTTGGCAACAAATACAATTATCCAGCAGCTTCCTAATGACAAAGGTCTCTGACTCTTAATTGCGAAACTGTCTTTTTGATCTGGATGGCTATGCTTCTTTATATTTACAGCAACTGAGACTGACCAAAAGTCTTCAACTGCGAGAGGTACAGGTGCATTTTTAATAAATTGGGTTGTAATCGAAAATGAATCTCATATTTGTTACACACCGACATATTTTCAGAGTTTATTTGTATTACTTCTGGTGATTTTGACTTACAGCTCAGCTCAAAATATTATCTTCCAGAGAACTTAATTATTATCTAAGGCCAATAATTTAAAAAAAATTGTCCAAGGGTGTCTATACACTATATAGACACTCAATATTTTGCATAAGTGCTGCAGGCATGCAGCTCATCCTGTGCCTCTGCTGAGGTGCTAAGAAACCCCAGGTTTCTTTAATAGCTCCATTCAGCTCATATGTATTGTTACTGGCCGATCTAGTCCAGTGATACCATCGTTACTAAACCCGGTATTTGTACTTTGGTCAATATTGTTGCAAGGCAAGTCCAAACGGAAAATAAAAGCAGCATTTTCAAAAAGCTTTTCAGTTGAATGAACAATAAAGATTTAGATCATCTTAGACGTGCATGAAGTGGCTTTTAAAGAATTAACTCCAGGCACTCCATGCTTTGTGACTCTCCTCCAGCTCTTGTTATCCCTGCAGTTTGTGTACAATTTTCAACACTTTTTCCTCCATCTACTTTTTTATTATATTGCTCCTTGAACAACCAGAATAGCATTAGTTACCTTAACTTAATTACTGAAATGTATCTTCTTGATCACATTCTAATTTATTAAGATGCACCTGTACATACACGTCCATGAAACTATACAGACACCAGGTAGAATCAGATACAGCATGAAAGCCAAAGCTTGCTCGCGAATTATCATACATCACATCTGGACAACTGGAGAATAGCTAAGCAAACACGTTCATGTCCCATATCTGATTACATCTTCCTGAAACTTTGTTAAACACCACAGAAGTTGCCTTTGGAACAATCAGTTACTTGGCATGTGTTGGAAAATTTGCCTTTTTAAATTGTCAATATAAAATTTAAAAAGAATTCAAATTTGAAGAAAACCCTTATTTCCAACATCTTAAAACTACTGATGCTGCCCACAGGAACTAACAAACGATTAAATATTTAGACGTCTGGCTGAGTGCTCTTCTAATACAGATTTATTTATTTATACCACTTCTGCTTTCTCTGTGTGACAAAAACGGGAGATGTAAAATGCAGCACCAGTTCTCAGTTTCTCTGTATAACAAAAGCAGTAAAAACTACAGAGACGATATGACTAACGGTCTAATTAAAGGGTTGGAAGCGAAGTCCGGACTAACAATAAAAACAGCAAAAATGACAAGAAAATGTTAAACAATCTGAATGTGACCCATGAAACACGGCACCCTGTCTAGAACTTGATTCCATTTTGCCATTTGTATTTTTCCAAGAAGCCATAAAGTCCTCGTGTTAATCCCACAAAGAACACACTGTGCGCTCTTACAAAGAACTGGTCATTCTCCACACATCTCCTTGCAGTTTGGGACAACAGGACATTACACATACCTTTAAAAATAACACTTAGCTAAATTAGGGGTAATTTTGTGCACTAAAACTCGAACATTTTTATTTTAGAATGAATTTTGCTATCTTTAACAATAGAAGTTAACTTCTTTTAAGAGTGGATTTTGTCCCAGACTCCACTGACAGATAAGTGGAAAACGATGCGTCTTTCTCAGGAGTGGAAATCACAGTTCAGCACTGCAAAAAATACCACAACTGGACCACAGTGGGCGCCACTGCACCAATAGAAGAGTTGGGCAAGTGGGCAAGAGAGGTACAGTGACAGAAAGTGTGACAGAGAGAGGAGGAGAGCGAGAAGGAGAGGCTGAAGATGAAAAATAGTTTGATTTAATCAGATACAAACAAAACAACACAATTTGAAACTAAAACATAGACAGATGCAGTGCCTGGCTAAAGAGAACTTTTTCTCATGTTTTGTCACAAACATTAGTGTGGAAGACAAAGTTGCACATTATTTTGAAGTGGAAGGTTTTCTTCTTTAGAAGAAGATAAAAAAACTTAAATTTGCATCATGTATATTCTGTCAACTTCAGGTAAGAGTTTCTAATAGGTGCATCTCTATTCCAACACACTGGAATCAAATGACTCAATTACCTCCTAACGCATATTATCAAATTCAGCAGAAGCCATTTGTTAAATTCAGGTGTGTTGGGGAAGACATGTAAAAGAAAGCTGTAAGATAGAATATTGGGAAATGGAATTGGAGAGCATTTATCTAATACATTTCATTGTGTTTGTTTTAGGTTGTTGTTCTGGAAGATGAAGCTCAATCTTCATGTCTCTTACTAAGTTTTCCCCGAGGCCTGCCCTATATTTAGCTTCAATCATGTTTCCATCAACTCTGACCAGCTTTCCTGTCTCTGCTGAAACAGCATTTTTCCAACAATGGCTTCCAGTTGCCTTGGATTGCACAAAAAATTGTCCTGTCAACAAATTAGTTCACCTGAGCTGTGAACTTTACACTGACGTTAAAAGGACTTCATTGAAAAATTAAGTTACGGCATCAGATAAAAGGGACTGAATGTATGTTTTATTTGTAAATAATATTGAAAACCATAACTTTGCGCCCCCTTTATAATTACTTTGTGTTGGTCTAAAACATTAAATGCATATAAAATATACTGAAGTTTGTTTATAAGGTAATCCTTTTTAAGGCACTGCAGTTAGATGGACAGATAGATAAACGGATAGATGTGCAGGCCAGTGGAGAAGAGAAAAAGGCTGCATGGAGGCGTGATCATGATGACTTGGACCGATGTGAAAGCACAAAAGATGCCACAATAAGAAACACAACAATAAATCTACGTAAGTCACAGAACTCCAGTTATACCAGACCTGCAATACGCACTGTCCCTTACCGCACATTCACACGCACACACACACCTACACAGACATATACAATTATATATATATTCACAATATAAACAAGATGAACAGGAATGTAACTCTGAGCATGCTCGAGCAACAGAAGTAAGATGACACGCCGGAATGCTTTTGATGGTCAGAAAGAGGGACAGAAAGAAGAAAAGAGTGATGGAAAGATGATGGAGGAGGCAGGGAGGCGGGCGAGGTTACCGTTGGGGCGTACCATTGGCCTTACCACATGGGGGTGAGAGGAAGAAGAAGAGGAAGAGGAGGACGAAGAGGAGGAGGAGGACGAGGACGATTCAGCTGGCTTTAAGGAAAGGCAACAAAGATCAGCACCAGAATAGTGCCTGAATGCCTCTCTGTGTGTGTGTTTGTGAAGCCTCTGCCCACACCTCCCACAAACCACAACACAGGAGTTCAGACTTTGATCAACCTTCACATACTGGTGACAGGAGTCATCTCCTCTGAGTCTAAAGGGAGATTTATGTGTGATCTTACGGCACAGGCAGATGGCCCCCATCGCCTCCCAAGGCCACATAAAATCCCTCCCTATCAAAGCAGCGGATGGCTGAAACATGTAGAACCTGTGAGGAACACATCTGTCCAAAGCTTTAAGGTCCTCAACACTTCTTGATTGATAGAGCTGTCTGTGTCTTTATAGGCTGATGTCATGGAAACAGATGTCTCCGCATATGCGATGTGGCCTCCCGGAAGTTATTGTATTTTCTTGCATCCAGCCAAAGACGCTTCAACTGAGACGGCATGTTTACTGAGCGGATCTAGTTTCATGAAGGTGATTATTTTGGCTGATGGTGGCTCGAAAAGTTAATAAGAATCGGTTTTATGTGCATCTCAATGCAATTTATTTGAAGACAATTTGTGTCTATTGCAAGACTTGGCAATAACGGTCTGTAGGGAGACATCTGCTGGTCATCCCTGGGATTACAGCATTTAACACTGGAGCCATAGAGGAGCAAAATGTTTAGTGACACCGTGTTTTAACTGGCCATGTTAAAAAGCCTTCCCACAACTCAACTGCAATTGAACATAATTTTTCAGGCTGGGTTTAAAGAAAGGGGAGGAAGTTAAATAGAAAAGCAACAAACGAAAGGAAGCGAAAATTGGAAAGCCAGGAAGCAAAGAACAGGAAATACTGAATATGAAATATATTTTGGGGAGAAGGAAGGGATTTTAACAAGGTCATACACATAATATGATCACACATGTGTCATGAATAAAGCCTACTAATGTAATATTCACTATAAACTTTAGTGAAAGAGTTTAATCTTTTTGACTGTAATCGATTTTTACACAATGAGATCACTTGGTCCTTTGTCTTCAAACCATAGCTTTTGCTTAAGTATGCTAATAAGAATATTCTAGAAAATAAATTTACTCTGTACAAGTTTCCTTCAAACTAACGGGTAAAATGGAGACGATCAAATTCTAAATTTGAATCAAAATGTGCAAAGTATTGGTTTAATAGTGTGCCTGTTTATGTAACTGTATCCAATACATTAGTTCATCACTTGAATTGCACAATACATAAACAAATATATGTAATTTATTTAAATTCAAATAAAGGAATGTCTTTTGTTACATCAGAAAAGCATAGTCTTTTCTTTGGGTTCTGTAGAGTAAAAAAATCTGTATGGCTGAATGAAAGCTTAAAAATTGTATGTGCTCAATGGATCTGAAGTACATTGTTGAAATAAGCTATAATATATTGAGTAACAGTACTACTACATTTTCAGTTTAATAATCAGGAACCACATGACAGACTTCAGGAAAGCGGTGTCCCCGCGTGAACTGCTACATGTGGTGAACGTGTGTCCAGAACAAACGGAGACAAACCAATCCAATAAACAGTCATCTGTTCAGGCTGTGCAGATGTGAGTGATTCTATCTGCAGCTCCGGATTTACGAGCTTATTTAAATGAACTTGAGCTGCTCTCTCATTGCACATAAAATTTTCAAGCAAAAAAATTAATAAAAATCAGTCAGTTCTATGGGTAACATGGGAGTCCTCTTCATATTGATACTTTAAGGATGTCAAGTTCTCTAATTGTGAGAAATGTTAAAATCATTACATGAAATGTATGCTGAACGACATTTCATGATGATGCAAATAGCGGATTGAGTTGTGAGGACGAAGGAAAACCCATGTTACCCTGCTTGCATTTCAGGAGAGCAAGCAGCACCACAGACCGACGAGAGAAAAAGATAGAGAGAAGGAGATATAAACATCAACAACAGAAGGTAAAGTGAACTGAAAAAGCTCAGAAAGTAAAGAAGAAAGGCAAGAAAGGTAGGAGAGGAGGAAGCATTCCAAAGAAAGAGAGAAATAGATGCAATCCATAACTGGCATCCTCTGCAAGACATCACGCAGAGCAAACCACTACCCAATCTGTTCATTCTAGTTCTACACAAACCAAAGTAAAATGTAAAAGAATCCGACAAAGTTTAAGAAGCACCCGCAGGATGCTGGGGGAGAATTAAAGACCCAGCGTTAGGGAAATGTATTTTTCTTTCAATAGCTGCAAAACAACAAATTCAGCTCATCTAAGTCAACAGGCACCCCACAGAGCGGGAAAGTGGGCGCACCCAGATGGGATGTTTTGGCCTTTTAATTATTTACTAAAGACAAAGTGATAACATTTTAAAAGCTAGTCTGTCACGACACTTCATTTCATTACTTTTAAAAAAAGCATTTCATCTGCTGTGCAGTTGGAAAAAAGGACTTGAACTTTTGTGACTAATGAAATGAAGTGGCAGGCTAACATTTAAAATGGCTATTTAACAGAGTCCTGGTTCAAAACAGGCATTTCTATCAGGATTGAAGTGCGGAGGGTTTCTTAAAAAAAAGAGAGCGAGAGAGAAAAACAAAGTGTAGCTTCGGATACTCAACGCCAAAATTATTAAATGCCTTCAAGTAAATGAAAGAAAAAAGAAAAGGACTTGGTGCATGCCTTTAAATTAGATGTAAGAATAAAAAAAAAAAACAGATTACTCATTCAATTAACCAAATCAATCAATTAATCTCTCAAACTGACCCAATCAGTCAACTAAGGTGCACAATTCAAACCAAAGTGTGCAGTGCAACATCAGTGAACCGTATAGATGACAAAGGTGTATATCACCGGCCCAGTAAACCTCGACATCAAGGTGGCTTTTTTTCAATTGTTATTCTTTTCAACTAATATGAACTGTTATAACAATTTATTTAAAAAACCTACATTCATTTGAAATTAATATTCTGCCAAAAAATGTATTTTGTTAAACAGCTATTTCCTGCAAAACGAAAAGTGCTGGCAAAAAGCTGAATAAAACATGTAATATCCAGATACAGTTGGGAATTTATCCTGTGTCTTTTCGAGGCAGCATAGTCAGCCTCTCCTGGGGCAAATGGATTCCCTTTTGAAAGCCATGAGAAAAAGTGCCAAGCTCATACACTCCTGGGATAAACCAGCCTTAATTTGTATGCAAGAGCCAACTGTTTTCTGAGGTAAAACATGCTTTTCAGCTCAGGGTAGTAGACTGCTGTGCCACAAACATTGTGTACTCGCTTCTTGTCCTCAGTGAAACTAATATCTGATATTATGGGATCATTTCCAACTAACAATATACATGCATCCCTGTTTTCTCGATCGCCTTTGTAAAATATTTGCCTGTCAGTAGCAAACGTAACTTTTATGTGTGTTAAATAAACTAAGGTTGCACCAATCACTCATTCACGACCACTTTTAAGATTAATAAAGATGGCCATGTCTTAGCAGTTAATTTAAGATGAATAACCAGAATGTATAGAGTGGTTTGTGTTACATGTTCACTTTTTTTATTTCATTTTTTTTCTCTCCGTTTTTGGATTGTTTTTTTTTTATTTGGCACCTTTGAAGGTTCACTGGTGGGCGGGGCACTGTCAGCCCACGTGGTTTTCGCTGGGCTCGTGGTGGCCCACCTGAGGGTGACTGAGTGATGGTGGCCTGAATGAAGCTGCTGTTGTTTTGGAGAAATTATGGGATGTACGGTGCGGGAAAGCTCTAAAGGAAAAAGGGGAACCTTCACCTCGGGACGGATCCACCCAGAGAGGAGCGTCGGAAGTTTTGGCCGGGAAGAAGTTTATTTTTCTTTTGGTTTTGATTTGTTTTGGGGGAAAACCGGCTGGACGGTAAACAATTGGAGCACCGGGGAGTTACGCGCCTGCCAAGACCAACCGCCGAGAAATAACGAGAGGTGTGTTTTCAGAAAAAGAGAAAAACTACACATTTAAAGACAAAAAAAAAAAAAAAAAAACTATTACACGGAGCGTCTGCTGAACGATGCATCGCGAGGGCTCGCCCTTCTCGAAAGGATGTCAGCTGGAGTAGGAACTCTGATTGGACAATTAAGGTAAGCCCCACCACACCGGGTTCCGTCAGGTGCCCGTTTTGTTTTAGTTTTCTGTTTGTTTGTTTGTTTACTTTAATACGCACTTCTTGTTGCGGCCCTACTCTCCCATAACCAGTAAAACGGGAAGAGATAAGAACGAGCCAGCGTGAGCGTAGCGCTACGTAAGTTACATGCTGCATTCAAGTGCATGCGTAACCTTGATATATTTTTACTCTAAGTGTAGAATAATATAAAGATCAATTAGTTATTTAACCATTCAGATAATAGTAGATTTTTATTTTATTTTACTTTAATAGAAAATATTCTGAAAGTCTATCCTTTATTTATATTTGTACAAAACATTTTATTTATAGCACATCGATATTAGTCTGTTTATATATTTGTACAACTGTTTATACATATTTATATCCTGTATAGCACTTCTGGATAGATGCAAACTACATTTCGTTGCTTGTACATGTGACAGTGCAATGACAATAAAGTTGAATTCTATTCTTTTACAAACGGTACCTTAGTATCACATAAAGCAACCATTGTCCTTAATATGTGAACACAACAGACACTGAACATTTGACTTTGTCTTTGGGGGAATTCATTCTTATTCAGCCCCACTGCTGACCATAGAGCCTCCATACAGATATTAAGTGAAGTCATGCATACATTTGCATAAATTTCACGGAGTACTGAGTAAATCCATTTATGGATCAAATTCTCCCTCCAATGTATGGACATTATGATAAAAGCAACTTGTAATTTTTTCCCCCCCTCATTTAAACTTCAAGTGTTCCTGGTCGTTTTTGAATTGAGAGTTTTCAATCCTCGGGTCAAAACTGAAAATATCTTCCGCTGTTCTTTAATACTTGGAAGAGTCATGCGTTTTGCATGTGTGTCGATCTGTTCAAAAAACATTCGACACAGAAACGGGCCTGGACATACCACCTTTGTATCTTCCATGCTATACAGTGTCCATCATGCCAGGGGTAATGTTTCGTACGTCCCTCTGGCAGTGATGAAAGATCAGATAATGTGTAACCAAACCAAGTGCTGAAGAAATGCAAAAGTTTTCTATTGACGAATGCAAGAGTCTTTGATGCTACCAACGCTCAGCAGACCGAGGCATGTGCACCTATCTGTAGCCATTTCAAATATTTGGGAATCGCATCAAAAAATTGGCAGTGAGAAGAGGGGAACAGTGTGTTGCAGAACATGCGGTTTACATAATAAAAATTTTGGGGAAAAATGGTGACCGTGTTTTGATTCGATCCTGCAACATCTGTGAATTTCAGTGGCCGTCTCTGAAGTTCACTTGGCTATTTGAAAGCTTGCGAGATAGGAATCAGCGCTCGGTCTGTTTGTGTGTGAGGGAATGGCAGATCAGGCAAGGCAAAAAGGAAGGAAGGGAGGGAGGGAGTTGGACTACTTACGTTAACCTCAGTGATCGCTATGTCAACAATGCTACCCACAACTATCAAGGCATCAAATGTGTTCCATGCATCAACAAAATAATGCTGTGTAGGGGATGGAAAGAAAAAGGGGGAAAACAACAGAAGAACAAAGAAAAGGACAGAACGTAAAACACAAAAAAAAGAGATGGAAATGACAGAAATCAAAGGAGAGAGGAGAAAAAATAAGATAAAAACATTACATACAGGAGCATTGGAGTTCTGAGCAGGAGGAAAGAGGGAAATAATCAACAAAATTAAACGGCGAACAAAACAAAAGAAGGGGCAGTCTGAAAACGATGGACAGCAGAGGAGGAGCAGCAGCAGCTGGTCATGCTTGTCCATGAAAGATGTCATCAAGAACCACAGTCAGGAACAAAATCACAACAACAATGAAAAAGTGCCTTCTGTTGGAGTTAAGAAGCTGTGTGAGACTGCTTGTGATTGGTCAGTGAGTTAGTTCAGTTAGTGAGGGGTATGTGCGATCAAATAAAATAAATCTAGAACCCAACAACATTTCAGATACAGTGAAGCAAAGGACAGCGCAATGGATAAACTCTTTAAGGCTGAACCCTGCCTGCGAAGGCTCTTCTTTCTTGTTTGGAAAGCCGTAAGGCTGGGAGAAGGTGACGAAGGGGGTCCCCCCTTAGTGGCAGTGGCCATCTTGGATTTAAGTATGAAGGGAGAAGAGAAGGAAGAGGAGGAAGAGGAAGAAGGAAGAAAGAGAAACAGGCTGACAAAGAAGACAGAAACAGCAGCCTGACACAGAAGAAGTGAAGGAGAGGGGAAGGAGAGCGGAGAAAAGAAACACGAGACGAGGACAGGAAGAGAAAAGACAACAAGAGCGAAAAGGGGGGCATCGTACTTACGTTGATCTCACTGAGAATGACGTCTATTATGCTGCCAATTACGATGAGGAAATCAAACACATTCCAGGGATCACTAAAGTACCCCTACACAGGATGAGGTGAGTAAGAGGAGGGTGAAAAAGGTATGTTAGAAGGAAAACAACATCAGCTGCCACTTTGCAGCCCCCATTAAAGTGGTATGAAGCTGTACAGTGGACTGTAGAAACTTAAAAAACCCAATCAGCTCATCTTGATGAGCTGACACATAAAAGTGCAAGATGTTACCATAAAATTTTGGACCCGTTCAAAATGGTGTGTTCAACTGTTGTTGTTTGCAGTGCCTTGCAAAAAATAGAAACCCCTTAAACTTTGTCACAACTACAAAATTTCATGAATTTAAAAAAATATATATATTTTTTAGGATTTTATGCACCAACAAAATGATTGACTGATTTGAACATAAATGTTAAATATTTGCCAGATGTCTTTTCCATCCTGGCATATGAATATAATTTGCTCTAAATCATTTAATTGTTGCTTTGGCTCTAAAATTGTGACCTTTGACTTGCTGAAACATCAATCTCAATCTGATGTCTTTTGCAACGTCTTGACACACTTTCTCTGTTTATCTTCCGGTCTACCTTGACCGGGTTCCCAATGACTACTAAAAAATGCGTTTTTAGTTTTTTTCCCTAAAGCATTTTACTGTCGATCACTGCAGCTCCTCCGAATCGACCATGGACCTTGTTGATGCTTCTTTTACCATACTTGCAGTGTAGGTGGTCTTAGTAGATTTGCAGTGGTGTCAGTCTTTCCATTTTCATACAATGGATTGAACAGTGCTCTATAAGATTTTCTATAGCTTGGTGTTTGGGTTAATTTTGTCCCAAGATAACACAACCTCTCCAATTAAGTTTGTGCCTGGTGCATCCATTCATATAAAGTTCTAATAAAATACAAACCTGGCTGTAAAATATAGTATGTAAAGTACAAAATTAAAATACATATGTATATGCACTTTTGCAAGACACCATATGAACTGAGCTGCCATTGTAACACAACAAATTCACTGATGTTCTACATAGTAGCTCTATAAATAAAAACGATCTTAACTAATCTTTGGTACGATGGCTTTAGGCCTTTTTAGAAAATTATAGTAAACTTCATGCTAAAAATCAGGTATATTTAAACTTATTTACAGTGTTAATAAATGCTAAACCTAACATAGGCACACATGACTTGTAAAACTAAGGAAGGTCTCATCCAACACTACAAATCTTGACAAACTTGATTAAAACAAGAAGCATACAATAATTTAAAATAACTCCCAAATAAAAAAAAAATACATATATTAGAAAAGCCATTTAAAACATCAAGACATCCTTTTGGCTCATGTTGGCTGTGAAACCTGTTTAAAAAGAAACAAAAAATAAATTAGACAGCATGCAGTAGACATCCAGAGAGGATTTCATGCTGGAGTCAATTCCAAGATTACCTGCAAAGTAGACCTGAGCCTTTTTTCACATTAATAGTTCAATGATTGTCAAACCACACAGTGACATGCGTTTTGAGCAGAAATTCTTCCAAGAACTTTGCAAAGTTCAATTATGCAACAACAAATAAATATTTCTTATACATACAGTGAATAAATTTAATTTAAATACTCAATGTGATTTTCTATATTGAAAGATACCCTTATAATTAAAAACGTTATCGTACAGAATATATTTGAAACCTGAGCTCTTAATTCAGGAGGTAGAAGTATGCTACTGATTGTTTGTATGGATTTTTCCATTAACGCTGCTGTAATTGAGCGAAGCATTCCCATCTGTTACTGTTTGAGTTGCTAATACACAAGGGGATTATTAGCCTAGACCAATGAATGAATGCAGCTACAAAGCAACCACAGTGAAGTAACAAGGGAGCAGTGAGATTAAAATAAGCTGTGCACTTTCTGTTCTGTTATGGTAAAACCGATATGCCTTAAATTAAATTTGCTTGTGTTGTTAATATCACAAAATGAATATTCTCATATCTACAATGAAGTGCTGTTGAACGTACCCTGGGCTTGAAGGCGATTAACTTTAGGATCATCTCTACTGTGAACAGTCCTGTGAAGAGCATGTTGAGGATGTTCATTGCATCGTTGAAGTTTTTAGTCTGTCCATGGTGCTGCAAAAGAGAAAAGGGGAATGTAACTTTGACAGCATCACTAAATGCAGCACTCTTCACAATTTTTGTATGGCCCATCCGAAAGAAAGTATTTTATTGCTATGTCATAGCATAATCTAAATCAGAAACAGAAATCTAATCTTTAGTTTCAAAGAGTTTAGTTTATATAAATTCTGAATTATAGCCCAAGTTGTTTCAGAATCAGTCATTCTTAACTTGGGATTTTCTTTCCACCTGCATGAAAATCCCTTGATTTGTTAGTGTGTATTTGTACAACTGCAATAAAAGTTGGACATTTTGAAAAAGCTTTTTTTTTTCCTCTTTACTAGGCTTGTGAAAACTCTGGAGAGTGGTGAATATCTGTGTTCATGTGTGACTCACCTGCATGGCCAGACAGATGGTGTTGAGGAGGATGAGAGTGAACATCAGGTACTCGAAGTAGGTAGAGTTGACCACATACCACACCTTGTACTGGTAAGGGTTCTTGGGGATGTAGCGACGTAGAGGTCGGGCCTTCAGGGCGTATTCCACACACTGACGCTGAGACACACATCCACAAATGTGAGCTTTTACCTCTGATATTGGCCTGTAGGGTAGTTTTCTTTTTTCATACTTGTTTTTTACCCTGACTGACATACTGCAGAAGATCTAGAAGAATTTTTTGGTAGTCTAAAAAAAATTTATAGTCCCATGATGCATAATAAAACCAGCTTCTTTTTCGCTCTTCTGTCAAACTTGCTGCATCAGCTTTATTTGTAATGTTGTTCTGGAGTGACCTTGTCTTATTACTGAAACCTGACTTTCATATTTTCATGTTTGACATTATAGAATCCCATTATCAAGCATTATAGAATCTCATTGTCAAGAAGGACAGTCCCCTATTGTCACACTGAATGCCTAATCCCCTTTGTCCATGAAGCTGATCTACCGCACCATAAACGACATGAGTGACTTAAAAGCGCCCTCAGACCAAACCAAGCACTACCTGGTTCTTGTCCAGCTCACAGTTCTTATACTCCTGCTCTCCTTGCTCCTGAAATGTGACGATGACGAAACCGACGAAAATGTTCATCATGAAAAAGGCGATGATAATGATGTAGATGATGAAGAAGATAGAAATGACCACGCGGTAGTTGTAGATTGGACCGACATCTTCAGCGTGAGAGTCTATGGCTCGGTACAGCAACCTAACAGACCAGATGGAGAACGCAAAAAAATGTGTTAATTGTTAGAAATCGACACACAGAGAGACGAGTTGAACTTTGTAGTGACTTGAAAAAATATTTGTACATTTTGAACTTTTTTACATTTTGTTACCTTACTGCAACCTTCCTTTTCTGTCTGTTTAATGTATTTTATGTGGTGGACCAATGCAAACAAATTACATAAATGTAAAGTTGAAACAAACTGTCTAAAACCTTTTAAAATTGCATCCCTAAAATAGACACCACCATAACTGTAGCAAAACATATAAACTAAGAAGGGTGCAAAACAAATGGATGTCAAACTTCCCAGGTTTTGTGGAACAATTTCAAAGCAATACTTGGTGTTTCTTTGTCATAAAAAAGTGACAAAATATTTGTTTCTTATGTAAAAATGTGAAAAATTTCAAATAGTATGAAGTGTTCTGTAAGTCAATGTAAGTAGGAAAAACGCACCCAGGCCAGCCCTCAAACGTAGACACGGCAAACAAAGCCATCATTCCCTGCAGGACATCATCAAAGTTGAAGTCGCTGTTTTCCCATTTTCTATGGGCTTTTTCTGGTTTCCCCACATCTCCATCCTTATACATGATGTAGAAACCTCTGAAAACACAAGTGCACACACATTGATGTGATTTGTCCAGCAAATAGAGTCGAAGAGAAAAAAAAACACCATGCACGGTAGAAGGGAGTTTTCGTACCTGCACTCTGCCTGAGTCTGTTTGGAGCTGTCACTACAGTAGGAGAACTTGCCCTGTTTGAAAGATGTAAAGGTTTTGTTTAATGTTTTTTTTCTTACAGCTAAAGACGGATGATCTGCTCACTTTTCTTTACCTTGAATAGCTGCACTCCAATACAAGCAAACATAAACTGGAGCAATGTAGTGACGATGACGATGTTGCCAATGGTTCTGATGGCCACAAAAACACACTGCACGACATGCTAAAAAACCACAGCAAAGACTACAGTTAGTGTATATATGTCAGCCTCTTTGAACCAGGAAAGTATTTTTTTTGCGTGTGTGTGAACCTTTAGTCCTTTGGCTCTGTTGATGGCTCTCAGCGGTCTCAGCACTCGCAGGACTCTCAGGATCTTTACAACATTAATTGCACTGGACCTGAAAAAAAAAAAAAAGGTAAATTAACACCCACTCATAACAACCCAAGCACATCTCCGCAGGAAAATACCTGCATTTTGGAGGAACTCGCATCACAGCTTATCTGCGTTTTTATTTTAACCCAAACAAAAAACTCAAATGAGAAAAAGGATAATTCTATTAATGATTTCCCCCCACTCCCCATTATGACCCAATTATTAATAAAGCTACAGCAATTCTAACATTTTTAATATTCTCTCTGACAAGAATGATTCACAAGAAACTTTAGCAGCAATTTTTATGTAATACACACACAAAAACATAGACAAGAACACAAGTACAACATGAAGAGACCAACATAAAGACAAGACGTTTTACAAGCAAACAGAGAAATTCTGTGCTGTAAAAGAGTGTCAGGTCAAGCCGACGGTCAAACAGTGTGAACCTTTAAAGGTGGTGCTCAAAAAAGAATGACTTGTACGTACTACAAAAGGACCAAATTTATATGTTGACATTCTGAGTTTTTCCACTAACTGATTAGTAAAAGCAAGAAGACTGGTTATCTTAACTGAACCAGATTTCTGTGCTTAATTAGTTATTCATAAAGCCAACAAACATGTTTTCATAAAAATAGAGCTTATTTACTGTAAATTAGAGATGGGTCTGATCCAACATCAATATTGAACCCAGCACCAACATTTTTTTTTTTTTTTGTATTGGACATGAACTAAGAGCACAGAACCATTCATGAATCCAGGATCTGTGGTTATTTGCTACTGGAGATCATGTTTCAGGCTAGTTTTACTTCAGAAGTGTAAAAAGTGCTAATCAAACCTAATCACATGCACTCGCAATTTACTGAGACGGTTAACTCTCCTAAATGTATTTCTTAATGAACTTGTGGCGTATATTCTCCATTTGTAAGTTTGCTCTATGCTTCCTTTGGAAGGTGAACGTGTAAAATGAGCAAAAATACATTTTGCCCAATTGTATTGGCATTGGTTGTTGGTACACTACAGCTATTAGGAAATCTCGGTCATTTTCCAAATTACAACTAAAATGTTCTTAATTAGGGAATCAGATTTTTTTTCCTGTAAACACCAATTATTATAATTCATTTTCAGATCATTTTATGAACATCTTGCACCTAAAAAAGCATTGGAGTGATTTTGTTAGACAATTATCTACTCTGGGTGAAGTCCTTAGATAAGAACCCATCTTTCCATTAGAATCGTTAGAAGAATTCAAAATGTCAACATAAATTTTCAACAGGGTGACTTTGGGGGAGGCTAAAGGAGTGATTTGAAGAGAAACATTATTTTCGAAAAGAGAAAATAGGATAAGAACACCTGTTGTGCAACTGTTTACAGAGGAAGGAAAAAGTCTGAAAGCAGTTAAAGGCAGTTTCCGTGGAGTGGGATGTTATCAGCCACATATCACAGTCAAACTAGCTGTGAGGATATACTCAAGTTATAGCACATTCTTTGAAAAAAAGTCAAAAGTATTTATATTGTAATAGTTTAAGATATTGACTGAGTTGAGCGGGCTGACAGGAATGAAGAACACTATTTACCAACCACCTGAAGATAAGAAGTACTCTATCCATCTAAAAGAAAAGCAAAAATACAAATAGGACCATAAGATATGAAGATAAATATTGGCCAGGATGCATACGGAGTGCTTCAAAACGATTTACATTCTTAAGCTTTGTTTTTTTAAGTTCTGTCACGTTCCAACCACCGACTTATGTGTATTTTAAAGTGAAATGGATTTCCAGAAAAATAAAAGTAGGAAGTGGAAAGAAACTGATGCATAGTGTTAAAGAAAAACATCTGAAAAGTGGAGCATTCTTTATTCTAATTACTAATTATACATCTTCTAAATGGAACTGGTGGCCCTACTGTTTCATGTTTAAAGATATCACAAATACACATAAAAAATGCATTGCACAAATGTCAGAATTTTATTCACTACCATTTACTAGAAGATTCACATGTTTTGGGCATATCTACACAATTTAAAAAAAAAATTTTATGTCTTACAAATTATGCAGACCTAACAAAGCCCCAGCCAAATGTTTCAACTCGATAGACCGTGAAAATTTGTCATTTGAGATTAAGACACACAGACTACAAAACAGCTGGGTTCTCAAAAAGAGTTTTTTGTTTTATGGAATAAAATCCCAAAGAAATGCATTAGAGTTTGTGTTTGTAACATGACAAAGTCTAAAAAATGTTCAAGGAGTGTTATTACTTTTGCAAGATACTGTTCAGTGTGTTAATCACCAATCCAAGCTGGCCCTGCTGCTCTTTTTATTAAACATGACAAAATAACCACGTGTCGACTTGCATTCACCTAGACTTCTGATAAAAGTGCCTCGTAGGAAAAAAAAAGAAGAAAGTGCTATGTTGTAAGAGCCACAGGCACAATAAAATGCAGCACCATCACAATTAATTCAACTGTGATACATTCATGAAAAATCCCACACACTCATTCAGTACCTTTAACAGGCAGAAAACCCAGAGTTTAACATTCACGTGTAATTTCTATGGCCCAGGAGAGTATGCCTTTATTCAGAAACAGGAGGAATGAATTTGACCTATTATATTAATAAAATAGGGGACTGCTTAATTTATCCAAGACCCAGGATAATTTAATCACTGAAAAAACTCTTATGGTCAAAAAACTAATTATGCAGCCTCCTGCAAATACATATTATGACATAAATTTAGCACCAAGTCATGTTTTTTTGTAACTTTTTTAAATAAGACATCCAAGCACAAATGGATGTGCTTGAAATTTTTTGCGTTACTTTTTTTCCCATCAGGCTTTCATTGCAACATACTAAACTCTCCAAGACCATAGAAATATCAAATCAAAAGAGTGACAACTTTACACTGTTGAGGTGAAGGTCTATTAAAGGGGTTATCAATACACACTAATGTGGACTTACGTCGAGAAGTCTAGTCTATTAAGCATTAGAAACAGAGAGTGTAGCATAGCATATTAAACATCACAGCAGTTAAAGGAGTTATTAGACTAGAAACAGAAAGTAAGGAGCAGAAAACATCCTTTTAATAAACATCACAAAGGGATAGACGGTCTGACGTAATATTGTGTGACAAAGTTAAGGTGAATGTGAAGTGTGGCAGAGTTCCAGGCTCAAATTGTTGTCAAGCTGCTACATACAGGTGAATTAGCTCTACAACTCATGCAGTCATCGCCAATCTTTTGTGAGATGTTAGAAAATTAAACACAATTAAGCCTTGATATACATGTGCATTGCTTCCTAAATGATGATGAAGTTATGATACGTAAACATTACTCTTTAAGACTGTTAAACATGCCAAGCAAAAGTTGTTGATGCACTTACTGTATTCCAGAAGAGATGAGAGAAACGCTGACCACTACTAAGTCCAGGATGTTGAAATAATTTCTACAGAATGAACCTTTATGGAGGAAGGCTCCATAGGCTGTCATCTGCAATTAAACAGACAATGTTTTCTGACATGTTCCTTTATGTGAAAAAGATCAATTTGGAACTAATTACTTTCACAGAATCTCAAAAGCAAGACATCATGCTCCGCTGCAGAGAGCAGATGAGAATCAATGTTGGCAACATTGATCAGAGTTGGGTTATAAAGTCTTCCTTAAGGTTTTAGTATTTTAACATAAATAGAAAAAACAAGAAGCGGGGGGGGAGCCTTCCTTGGCATAAGATAACAATAGTTGGTGGTGCTTTTGTATTTATGCAAAGTATTTCTGTATGAAATATTTAAACTTGTTTCATCTGGAAAGAGTGACAAAAAAAAAAGTGTCAAAAGTATTTGGCAAGTTCCAAAATGTATGTTATCACCAGTAAACGCTACCTTAAGAATGATCTCAATGGTGAAAAGTCCAGTGAAGACGTGATCTGCATAGCCCAAGATCTGAAAGCACAACAGAAAGTTGTTTTTTTTTGTGCGTGTCTCATCTTCATAACCAATACATCTCCTGGAGTAAACAGAAATATTTTATAGTCGTTTAATCTTTTTCTGTAATGAAAGTGTAACTTTTTTTTTCTCCAACAGTGAGGTTTTTTCTTACCTAAATGTTATCTTTCTGATGTTCTACTAGAGCTGCATAAAATGTTGAATCACAATCATCATTGGAATATCATTATTTGCTATACTGCCCCTGCAATGGATTGCGTTCGATTTTGAGAGGATATTATATGTTAAGAACATATTTGCATATTTTAAGGCATTCACACTTTGCTCACAAATAATATATTTGGACAGTTAAATGGACGCTGATACCTGTACCGGATATACGTTTTGGTTTTTGTAAATTTGGATGAATAACAATTGTATAGTTGGTATTTCCTGATTATGAAGATCAACATGTTTCCCTTATTGAAATGGTATGTTTGCTTGTCTTTTCTAATTTTGAAGAAAAGTAGGCCTCTTCTTTTTTCCTTTCACTGATTAATTGTTGATTAAAATGGGTAACAATAATCCAAAAGAGCACTGTTGATGGCTCCACATAAACTAATATTATAATGCATTTGTCAAGATTTATTTCAAAAAAGAGACAGAAAATTATTCAAGCAGATTAAAATGCATGCAACTCTCTAAATCTCTAAATACTGCTAAGTGCTTGCCCTGTTTAGCTGTAATATGTGCCAATGCCAGGGAACTACTATAAAGTGGATCCTTGTTGGCCCCAGGGGATGCATGTTTCTGACAGAGAGAGGAAACAATGTACATGAGCAGATAAAACACTCATGGCGCTCAGCCTTTCCATTATACCACAGCACAATTACCACCATAAACACTAAATAAATAATAAGCTGTATAAACAACACACAGCAAGGCTTTATTAATAAATGCAGCTGCCTCATAAGGGCAAACTGTAATAACTTTGTAGTTTTAGAGCTTGCGCTTGAGGCTGAATGTCTCTGTTCCTTTCTTATAACACAACAGTTGAGGCCAAAAGGCATTGTTTTAATACACCTCAGCACAAAGCTGTGGCTAACTGAAGGTTAACTAAAGCAAAGTAAGCTATTTGTATATGTACAAAACAAAGATTACAGTTATAATTCTTGCTTGGGTGAAAGGAAAACAAAAAAAAAAGCTAGCGTTAAAGTGGAAGAAAAGAATTTTTTTGTACTGTACTAAAAGCAATCTATTTAAGTGTAACAGGCCAGACATAAACAGTTTAGTTTGTCTATATTTTTCTGTCAGCTATTATCCTTTTAGTTAATATATGTGTGGGTCGCTAATGACGCTACAAAGACATCAGTCAGTGCCTTGCTTGATGAGCATCTTTCCTCCTCATGTGAGTGGAGGGCCTAAGGTTCAAATCACAACAACGGCAGATTAAGCTAAAGAACATGGCAAAGAAAAAGAGTCTAAGAAATTATTTGGTTCATGAATTGTAAATTTAACTTCTCCTGAATTGAACTTATGACAAGTTCAACTGGAATCTGTCAGGGAGTTTACTTTATATCATCTTTAGGCCTCCAAGGCCTCCATCTTTTTCCAAGATGGAATAATCTGACTACACTTTATTACATATGTAAAAATATATACATACAGCAATAAAATAATTATTAGATCAATAAGAATTCCCATTTTTGTTTTTCCTTTCATCCTTCACTTGTCTAAGATCAGGTGTCAGTGGTAACCTGTCTAGAAATTTAACGTTCTCCTTAGTGACGATCTCCAGCTCGTTCTGAGGGATCCAAAGGGATTTATATCCTCGGAGGGATCTGTAAAGTCCCTTCGAGTTCTGGTTCTGGTCTCATTCATGCAAGTCAGGATGTAGGGCAGAGCAGAGGATGAGACATGCTGATCTCCAGAGGCATAATCGGCATGGCTGATTGCTTATAAAATCTCAGCAGGAAGTTGTAGTCCTTTACATTTCAAGAGTCAAATGGCCCGAATGAGGATCACAACCTCATTCAGTTATCCTATGTCATAATTAAGACGTATGATGTAATTTAAAAAAACGTGAGGGAGAAGTGCATTAAGATGGAGACAAATTTAAGCATATTCAACACATATTCATCTGAATATTTAACCAACATAAGAAACAGACAATAACTGAAAATTCATTGGCACAGAATAGAAAATAAGATGATAAAGTAGTAAAGAGGAAGTCGAGTTTATAACTCAATCTGCCACCTGATTTCTGAAAGAGTCGTTCTTGACCGGATCCTCTGCCGCCAGACTGATGCTGCTGAGCAGGATGAAGAATAGGATGAGATTGGTGAAGATGTTGTGGTTGACGATCTTGTGGCACAGAACCCTGAATCTGTTGGGGAAGACGGAGGGAAAACGAACTGAAGCAGACAAACGACAACAGGAAAAGAAAGATGAGAAGAAAACAAATGAAAGGCAGAACTACAGCATCAAATTACTTGTTGGTGTGGCTGAAGATGAAGAAGGCGCGGGCCTCAGGCATGGGAATGGCCTTCTCTTTCAGCTGAATGTCAGAGAGCGGCCGCGGCCTCGGACCCACTGGCATCTCCGGCTCATCCTCATCCTCATCTCCTAATGAGAGGGTTGGGCAAAAGGAGGAAAAGAAAACAGAAAAATAGATTAACAGAAACTAAGGTGAAAGAGCTGAGAGAGATGGCAGTTTTATTTTTGTTGGCAATGAAGGCTTTTTTTTTTTTTTACCAAAATGTCAGAAAAAGCACAATTGTTTGACAGCTTGGTTTGCGCCATTGTTCTAGAAATAGAACGAGTTGTGGAGCTACTAGATGTCAGGCGTATTTTTCTTACTGTACACTTTACCTATGTAATCATTCACAGGATATGGGTTCTTCTCTTCATTTTCATCTCCACAGCAGTCATCCATGTTGATCTATAAAGTACAGATTATTCATTTATTCATCAGCTAATTTTGCTAACTAAAATTTGTAGCTTAACTCTTTTATGTCACTAATTACCTTGGTTGCAGTGTTGGTTTCTCCATCAGAAGTGATGGACTTCAACTCGATCTTCTCACTCTTCTTTTCCTCTATCGGTGGCTTCTCGTTATCATGACGCTTTTCTGGACTGGCAAGCCTGATAAAGAAAGAATATTTTACTGTTATTTACTCCAAGTTAAATCATAGATTTGCATTTTTACTGTGTAAAAACGAAGAGATGACAGGACAGTGGTGCACATTTAAGGTCACAACAGGAACTTGTGCAGAAATGACAGAAGGGAGAGAAAATGTTTTCCGGTATACTGAGTGACACCAAGTTAGAATATAAAAAAAAAAAAAAAAGAAAACAAATCTTTTTATTAAATTTTAAAAGCAAAACTTGTATATTTCTTTAACTATAAGTGACATTTTAAAAATATTTCTTTTCTTATGGATCACAATAAAAATCTAAAATTTCAGTCTTCAGACATTTTAGTACCAATAAAAAAGGGATTTTCAATATCCTAATAGAAATGAACTCCACTCACTGTACAGTATTTATGTGATCAGTACTGGGTCTGGGTTGTTTTGCAAAAATTACTGCATGTGCTATAAAATAACTTGGATTTCTTTAGTACCACCGAAGACCTGATCATTGCCATTCACGTTGCAATGATGCAGTAATTTCTGCAAACTACCCCCAAACAAGTACAGAGTGGTTGAACTGTATGGCACATTGAGAATAACTAATTCTGTGTTTTCCTCTATCTCTTTTAGCTATTTGCATGCTTGTATATACACATGCACACACATAGTGCATATGCACACAAAGCTAAGGTTAAAGGAAATTACACACTCGGGAACGCCCTCTTTTTGGCCTGTCAAGCACAGTGCTAAATTCTGTATCAGGAGTGGCTAAACATAAGGGATAAAACTGTTGCAGATTCTTGTTTTGATACATCTGTGTGTGCTAACTCTTGTAGCACCGACTTCCAGTATCCAGCAGTTTATGTTGCCACATTTCTTAGGCTTTCTCTCTCTATAGCCTCTTTTGGGGTTTGAAAATCATCAAACGTGTCTCATTTCTTGCTCTTTCTGCTTTCATTTGCTGCATCTCTTGGTTTCTCGGTTTTCTCCATCTTACCTGGCCAGTTTTTTCCTCTCCTTTGCCTCCTCCTCTTCTTTCTGAGCCGATGTCAGACTCTCAGCATCTGCTAGATTATCGACAGCGATGGCCAAGAAGACATTCAGTAGGATGTCTGTTCAGAGGGGTAATGTAAGAAATAAATACCTAAGAGATGAGACGGTGCAGCAGGCGAGACTGGTCACAAATCATTCCAGTACAAATCTTGTAAAAATGCCATGATTTGCACAAATGTATTCTGGGCAAAAAGCAGCTTCTCCATTCATTTAAATTCCACTGTGTGTATACACGATGGCACGACTCTGATAGTCTGCAGCCAGAAAAGGATACAGTTTCCGCAGATGAAGAGGATGATAAAGTAGATGCAGACCAGCATGCCAGGAAAAGACGGGCCTCCATACGCCATGATGCCGTCATACATAACAGAGTTCCAGTCTTCTCCTGTTAAAATCTGTGGAACAAATAATAGAGTGGTTTTACATGAAGAATGCATAAACCGGCCAAACAAAGGTGAGACAAAATGGACACTGATATGACCATGAACAAAAAAATAGTATTGTCACCTGGAACACAGTGAGCAGAGACTGGGGAAAGTTGTCAAAGGTGCTCCGTCTGGTGTCGTCAAAGTTAAATTTCCCCCCGAAGAGCTGCATGCCCAGCAGGGAGAAGATGATAATGAAGAGGAAGAGCAGGAGCAGCAGGGAGGCAATGGAACGAACGGAGTTGAGTAGGGAGGCCACGAGGTTGGAGAGAGAGTTCCAGTATCTATCAGAAAAGAAGATGATTGTCGGTGTTTGCCTGGAAAATGTTGGGCTGAACTTCTATAGTCAATGTCGTAAAAGTCGTAATGACCTTGTGATTTTAAATATTCTCAACAGGCGTACGCAACGCAACACTGAGATGCCAAGAGGAGACATGATCTTTGTTTCTACGAGAATGGTCTCTAGTATTCCCCCACACACGACGAAGCTGTCGAACCTGTTGAAGAGTGACACGAAGTACGCCTGTGGGGTGCAAAGAAAGGGAAGATGGTTAGAATTGGCTCATAAACAAAAACATTTTAACTTTTTGTCACATTAAAACAAACATCAATGTAATTTATTTATTTTTAAGTAGACTCAGAGATCTGCAACTTGCAGCTCTTCAGGGTAAAGTTGTTGGTTATTGTGTAAAATTGACTGAACTGAGCAGTGGCTTTAAATATCTAGGCATGTCATAACAAATTTTGCTTGGCAATTAATTGCCCCAGAAATTATTGTGATAAATGATGGGATTTTGAGACCACTGTTTACTAATAGTATAAATGGCTTAACAGTGCAGATGCACTCTAAGATCAATAAACTAATTTCTAAAGAACATTTAGCACTGACATTTTAAATATCCAAAATAAACACACAAACCAAAAACAAAATGAATTATGAAGTCTCTGTAAACAAACTTGCCCTTCTCAACATATTAATCATTAGGCTCGGACATTAAAAACAGGATACATTGCCGGAACTTTTGTTGAAAATTTGATAAAAAAATAAACAGACTTACTCCTGCATACTGGGTGTCAAATATTTGCAGCATTTTTTTGAAATGCTGGCTTCTCAATGAGATCAATGCGATTAAGCTAGCTATTTTGAACTGGCCTTTTCGTATTATGTTTGTCGATTAAACACTCTCGTAATTGTGGACTGTTAGTAAGACAAAACCAGCTGTTGACTGAATTTTTTTTTTTTTTCCAAACTGGAAAACCTGCATTGCATGTTTTAGGTTTAGATACATGTTTGTTGGATTGTCATGTTTAGTTGGTGCTGTTCTACAACATATCTGCTCCAAAGGTAAAGTGATTTACCACGAATTGCTCCCAGAGTGCAACCGTCATGTTTGGCTTCTAAATCAGCATTTCCTTTGCTTTCTCCCCCTCTCGGGGGCTCTGTGGTGTGAAACCATGAGCCTGGCCAATAACTGATGCGAGAGTTCACTCCTCCTTATGGGCCTGACACACGGGAGGTGATGTCACTCCCTCTGCGTTTCATAAGGAATTTGCGTGGTGAGTGACAATCACTCAACTGGTGAAATACATGCACGAGAAATTTTGAGGTTGTACCATTAGATGCGCAGCTGCAGTCTCGCGAGAAGACAAAACGAAAGTTGAAAACTGTTCAACTTTTGTTTCTATTGTGCCTTAGTGGCAGAAAACTGAAGCTTTTCATTGACCTTCTGTCACTTCACGTACAAAGAGCCCTTCACTCTAAGGAAACTAGAAAGGAAGGAAGGAAGCAGCTAAAACGTCTCATTATCCAGTCTCTTTGCTAGAGAGATGCATGATAAAAACAAACAAGCACGCAACTTAAAATGATCAAGCTCATTATAACAATTGATTTATTGCTTACCACAACAGGCCTATGCACACTCACTACAGTGTCGTGATCCAATGTATACTATGCATTCCCATGACCATATCTACCTTGATTTCCTAACAGAAGGGAGCAAGCAACAGATTTCTGTATAGCCTAGTTTTTTTGCCATCTGGTTGCTGAATTCAAATGCTTGACAGACATTTCAAATTTAATTTGTTTTCAAAGGCATTTATCACTTTCCTTTCACTTCACACCTAATAGCACAACAAATGGCATGGTGCACAATTATGCACCCCTTTGTGATGCTCTAATTCCACAAAATACTGATAAAATACATTGAAGTTAGTGGTTATAAAGCATTGGCACCACTTACCTGTAGACCTAGACTGTACATCTTTAGGAGCATCTCACCAGTGAAGAGTGCTAGTAATACTTTATTTGCTATATCTGCAGACAGGAACAAAATTAGAAGATGAAAAGAAGCTAGAAAAATGAAAAGAATAATTTTGCACTCAATATTTTCATCCCTATGATTTGTGTTTTTACATGTGATGTATACATTGTGCGCGATGTACCTTGCACGTCTGTTAGCCACTGAGGCTGCTTGTGATGTTCAGAGGCGATGGTCAGGGTGTTGAGAAAAACCAGGAAGATGACCAGCCAATAGAAAACCTGGGACTTGACTGCTGCTCGACACTTTCGCCTACACAACCTGTTCCACCTCCGAGAGTAGCGACTGAGAAAGGCAGATTGAGAGGTGAGGAAAGATTGGAGAGGGTAGAGACGGAGGAAACATGTTGGATGATGGTATAGGTCAGAGGACGGGTGAAGAAAAATATATGAGAAGAATATGGAAAAACATGGAATCAGATGGAGGGAAATATGGTGCCAATGAGGAAATAAGGAACAACCCGCATGAAAATAGAGAGAAAGGCAGTCAGTGGTGGAGAAGAAGAGGAAGAAGAAGAAAAAGTTAATTGGTCAGATCACAGAATCGAGTTGACATCAACTCCATATCCTGTGGCTATCTGTCTTAAAGCAGAGATGTGGAACAGTGTTAGTCATCAAAGGTGTTTCATACTAGCATCAAACTTGAAGAGCTTTGTAGCAGAGATGGAGAGACCATTTAAAGAAAAGAGGGAAAAGACACTTGCAGACTGACATTAAAATTAAATGTATGTTATCTGCAAATGAGAACTGTATTTTTGACTAAAGAAAAGAGCCTAAATGATGTAGTTAATTGTTCCTGGGTTGTCGTGTGGACTAATTCCTCTTCACTTTCTTTTGCTGTCCACTGTGGAAAATTTCTGTCATTGTTTCTGATAATTGCCAGCTTCACGCCTCGCAAACAATCTACTCTACTCCCCGCACAATGGGTCGCACAAGGGTCATTTTACATCTCCTCCCATATAGGAACAATTTTCCACAGTAATTTTGTAATTGTCCTGTTCTGAGAAAGTGACATGAAAACATGTGAAGGCAATGGAAGGGGATTTACTTGTTCTCACAGCGGCAGTAGTTAAGTGTGAAAGAAACTTTGTGTCTAAAATGCATTGCTTTAATATGCACCTCCTTGAATAGATGCTTAAACATCAAAAATTCCCTCAAGCAAAAACACTGTTTTATGAAAACACTGCTTTGTTCTATACATAGGTTATTGGGCTCATCTTTCTCGTGGCAGTTTGGACCCCATTCTCTGTTAGAAAATGATCTAATTCCTTGTGCTGTAGGTCCTGTCTGGATTCATAATGGTGTTGGAAATATCCATTTTGGTCCTTATTGTCTTAATAGCATATTGCAATTTCATCCCTGAGGTCTTCTATTGGACTGGACCTTACCATAGAGGTCACTGGAAAACTCCAAAAGCTTCCACGACAGTGTAATACTCAAAAAACCAGTTTCAGATTATTTCAGATTTATGCATTATCTTGCTGGAAGTATCCACCTTGACTAACTGAGGTCATAAAGGATGTGGCATTTACACAATTCTCAGTTGTACTAAGAGACTCAAGAAAATATTTACCAAACCATTAAAGCACAATCAGAAGCCCGTGACGGTTGATCCAAGGCAGGATGGATCCATGCTTTAAAAAAGTGCTTCTTTTGTGTTTTGCATCCTTGTTTTTAATTTGTCTAAACACTGGAAAATCTGGGTAATTTTTAGTCTAGACTATGATATTGTGAGAAGCAATTAAAGGTGTTTAATCATTTTATTGTCATGTCCACTATAAACATCAGAACTGTGCAAATGATTAAGTATTCATAACATTTAGTTTGACATTTAGGCTTCATGAGAAAACGGCATAAATAACCATGACGAACCATTTTTGTTTCACTGGGATGAATGCAATACCACACAACGTATCAATTACTGTATTCATAAAGGTGTCAGATCTGATTGGTTGCCCACTTTCTGTTTTTCATACAAGTAAGAGTGCAGAAGTATTTATGACCAACTAAATGTATAAATATGGCTTACCAGGATTTAATCTCTTTCTGTTTGCTTTCACTTATGGCCCACACAAGACACAACTCACAACACAACATGAGCATAAACACACCCTGACTCAGTGTAATTGAGCTAAAACATTTAGCATAATGAATATCTTCACTAATAAACCTTTGTGTTGGATATCTCGATGTACATAATACAACATAAGAAATTAAAATTATGGACATCTCTGAATAGTGCTACATCAAGGTATTTTAAGCTCTGAGTTGAAAAGAGGGATTTCAGATAACTTAGCTTTATCTTGTAAAATATAAAAAGCAGTCTAAAATTAAATCAGACTGAACTTTTACTTTTTTACATCAGTTAAGATTGGTAACATTATTTCTATGTGTTTAACGAGTGAGAATATCTGAGATTTAGTTTATCACTATTTTCCAACTGATTTAAAACAGAAAATGTCAGACACTGAAAAAGACACAATTCTTTTTGTGAAGAGTAAATACTTTACCAACTTTAGATTAAATGTCATGGAATTAGTATAGATTATTTTGTGAATGAAATGCCTGTTTTAATTTATTACTAATCATGTTATTGTAATTAGTGAGCTCAGAGAGTTTCTATTAGTTTGATCATGTTAGTTTTCGATTGTCCTGTTTTCCTTTCTTTTTGTTCTTCTCTAGAGAAGTACGCAAGCCCAAAGACACTAACACACATTCACAGCCAATAAATAAGTACGACTTCATGAGAAGACTATGGTAAACTTGTACTAACCTGAACTTGGATTTGGAGATCCTAATTCTGGAACACAGAAAACAAAATGGATTATACAAAAACACATAGCACACAGACAGACAAAAAACACAAGACAGAGGTGATTTGAAAAGGATAAAGGGGAATATAGCTTCCCCTGTTTTTGTAAAACGATTTGCAGCATATGTTTGTTGATCAAACTGTACTTGTTTTGCATATTTTACAGGTAAGAATTTTGTTGCAGATGATCAAAGAAAATATTTGCCAAATGGTGAATTGGACCAGGTTTAAGCAGCCATATTAGATCTTGGGCATAGCCCAACAAAATTAATGCTGTGGTGTAAAAAAACATAATTCGTCAATGGAAAGAAAGTTTATTGATTGTTCACCACTGTAACAGGAAAAAGGTACAACAAGGAGAACTGAGGACAAGATAGTATGGAGGACATTGTGACTGACGAGAGAAGGAGAAAAACCACGTCCATAGCTCACAAACTTAAATTGATAACTGCCGAATCAATCTGAAATCTATTTTTTTGTGAGATGTTTGTATTTGCGCTCTGGTTTGGTTGACAAATATCAGATGAACTGATGGAGCAGCTGACTCACTGGCTGACTGAACAGCTGACGGAAACAATGAAGCGTCTTATTGACGGCCCGAAAGAACGAACAGAATGACTGACTGGCTGGATATGGGACCTGACAGTGCATACTTCCCTTGTCCGTCTCGGTGAAGAGATCAGCAGGTGCTGAAGTAGCTCGTACCCCAAGGGCCTGTCTGCTGGCAATGCGAAGAAGAACTGACAAACACTGAAAGTCCCATTTAAAAAAAGAAAAAAAAAAGTGGAGGGAAAAAGCCTCCAGGAAAAACTCTATATCTGGCATGAAAACTCAATGTAACGTTTCAGTCAATGGAAGCTCTATAGTTTTTCCAAGTGTTGCAGAAAAAAAAGGAAATCTTCAAATCAACAACAAAAAATCAAGATGGCACATACTTTTGTGATTAATGTAAATCATAAGAAGTTATTGCAGTCTGATATGATTTAGTTCTCAGCTCTTTCCTCCATGTATACTAAGTTGAGTGGCTCCGAGCGGTTAGGTCATTAAAAAAACAAGCTGAGAGTTCATAAATCTGTCGCAACATTCCTGCGATCAAACTAATAAAACCAAATTTGACGACTGAGTTTGAAAACCAAAATGACCCGTTTTGTTTTTTCATTCTTTTTAGACATTACAAAAAAAAAACCCAAAAAATCACTTTCAAATTTATAGCAAATATTTCTACAGAGGTCAGGTTTTAAATGTGAAACAAGAAGGAAGAATTGATAAATGGGGTAGACTGAGTGGTCAGACAGATGAATGAATGGATAGGTGAAAATCAGAACAAATGGATCAAAAGACAGACTGGTAGATGGATGGATAAATAAATGGATTGGTCGATAGGCAGACGGATAAATGGATTAAATGATTTCTGGATGGCAGAGGGATGGATGAATGATTTGATCAATAGAAAATCTGATGAAGGACAAAGACCTGGATAAATAGAGAAATGGATGGACAGGTGAATGTTTTCTAAATAAACTTTACTTCTATGGTTGCGCTGAAATTATATTATATTTTTATATACTCTTCGTATTTTAGTTTTTCTGTCCGGGTTAATTCATTTTGACAGTATACGTATAAAACACAAACAACACAACAAGTGCATAATAACAGACAAATAGTGAACGTACAGATAAAAGGCCATCTAAACAGGCTCTCTAACTTTGTTCAGCAAATTGTTTTTGTGTCATATAGTTTTACTCTGGAATCACCAGTAACCTGTTCCATTAATGACAGTTTTGGATTTGCTTTTGCATGCTAAAGTAGAGGCTCGCCGGAGGTCACGGCTCCTGTGAGGCCCTGCGTCAAAGAAAGAAAGCATCTCGTTTGTTTTGAATAATGTAAAATCACAAGAAAAGCATCCGGGGATAGCAGGAGTGAGTGAGTCAGCCATTTGTGAACTCCCACAGGGGAGGAAGAAAGCGTTTCAGCGGCCAAACTCAGGTAGGGCAGAGACAGAAACACAGAGAGAGGAATCAATCACATCCCATAGTCGTACTCACGTCAGAAAACCCACGTAAAAATATATTTCAGTCTTTAAGTTTTGGCAGTGTTATTCTAGAAAGGTCAGAGGTCATGTTCATAGACTTTGAAAAAGAAAAAATAAATAAATAAACGGCCCCTGTGGGAACAGAATGTGCGGTTATTTGTCTCTTGAGTTGAATCACCTTCACCATAATTAAGGTTTTATCTGTGTGTCGTGTATTGACGACCTTCTGGTCCTTTACCCAAGAGCCTTTGGTGCATGAATGCCTGCATGACACAATGAGTTATAAGGCTAAGGCTGGTTCAGTTAGATCAATGAAGGTTCAGTTAGATCAATGAAGGACAGAGGCAAGCCAAGCCACTTGCACCATGTCTGACACAGCAGAGCTGGTGGAAAAGACAAAAATCCTGGCAAGGTGAGGAGTCCTCCATGGGAATGATGGTCGGGGATTGAGAGAGCTGAAGAAGAGGTGTGTGTGTGTTTGTTTGTGTAAGAGGGTGAGGTACTCACGCCAGTCTGGTGCAGCAGGTCTCCCCCTCCACGTCTCCCCCGGGAGCGTTATCCGTGTTGACTGATTCGTTTTCACTGGCTGGCATGCTCACTGAGAGAAATGGGTAAAGACAAAAGGAAAATAAAGAAAAATATGAGAATGAGTCAGGAAGAAACAAAAAAAAAAAGCTGTATAGCAGCATAAATGTGCAGGGGGTTTAACGTTTACATGGAAATAAAATGTAAGTTTCAAGTGCACGTTGGCAGTAGCTTCCAAAACGATTAAACTTTTTGTTTTTTCTTTTTAAACCACCAACTTTTATGTATTTTATAGAGAATTTCCACAATAGAGCAAACAATAGTGAATAATGCTGAAGAGGAAGAAAAAGGACACCGTTTTTAATATAATAATAAAGTGTGGAATGCATAAATTTATTTCCCATTACTCAGACTCTCCTACATTCAATTTGGTGCCTTCAGAAGTCACGGATGCATTCCTTTTGGGTCAGTACTTTGTAGAACCACCTTTTGCTACAATTACAGCTGCGAGTTTTAAATGTTGTCTTTGCCAGTTTTGCATATCTAGATATGGAAATTTTTGGCCACTTTAGTTTTTTGCTAAATAGTTGAAGCTCGGTCAGATCGGACTGAGAGCCTTTGTGAGCATAAATTTTCAAGTCTTATGACAGATTCTCAAACAGATTCAAGTCTGGACTTTGTACCTTTAGAGTGGTCCAACTGGCCCTACATACAAGTGTTTTATTAAGCTCTTATATAATTGTTTTCAGAGCTGCCGTGCATTCATCTCTTAAACATAAAAGAGAGTGACTTTGTAGTTTCTTTGTAGTCTAAGGAGAGGGCTATGATATCAGATGTTCTCTGTTCATCCTCATCTTTGAGTCTAAATTAAAATGTCTTTTGGTAATAAGAGAGCGCAGTTTAAGCCGCATATTTGTTTTCTGCATTAAATAAAACGGCTCGCAAATGATGATATTCAAGGATAGAGGGATGATTTAATATTGAGGTGATGGGAAGGACTTTGAAAAATGAAACACATTCATGGGTAATAACAGGAAAATATATTTTTTTTCCAAAAACAAGTACAAAATGAACGGACAACCGATAACAGTGAAGTGGGACGGGGAGACGATAATGGAAGTACTGAAGATGGTTTAGATGACAAGAGATTGAGCGAGAAAGAAAAGGAAGAATGTGGAGACGGCTGGTTGAGAGACTGATTTGAAATGATCCATCGCTTTTTATTGCTTCTGTCAGTTCAGGCTTGCTTGGGGGAAAGAGCCGCATTCCTTCATTGTCACTTCAGTATTTATTGCTACACCTGTAGGTATCAGAATCAGACACTGCACATGGAGTTCCAGTCCCCAGTTTGCCTGAACTCGTCACTGGCAAGTGCGTTACTCTAATTTTGTGCTTTTTTTTAAGTTTATTTGAGCCTTCTCTTTCTTGCATGGAATTAATGTGCAAAAGATAACTCCAATAGATTTAAAAGCGAGAACTTAATGGACAAGTTTCAACGGCGGTGAAGATTTCAACTACTAATTTGTCTGGAAACCGACTAATCTACAAACCATTTTGTAACACAAAATGTCTTATAAACTTGTTGTTTTAATCAAATTGAAACATAAAGAGGTTCACTTTTGCAAAATCTTGTCTCTGTGAGCGTTGAAGCCTTCGCTGTTAACATGATGTAAGTTTCCACACTTCGACATGTCCCTCCTGTAGCTACACTACTTGGTTAAATGCACTTGTGAGCAGCAAGTTTCTCCTGAGGCTACAAAGCCTTTCAAATACTATTCAAAAGCAGCCTTGTGCCTTCCCCTCAATGGAGCTATGAACTAGTTTAATACCTATTGTTAGAGTAAACCCCAAAGACCTGGTACAAAGAGACAAGAAACGAGGAAAATGAAGACAGAGGACAGCAGGGTAAAAAATGACTGGAGAGACAGAAAAGGACATGATGGAAACCGGGGTCACATGTTTTTTTTTGTGTATAAATGGGATTAGATTCTGCTTTAGCCTGTTAAGAATGCAAACATTTATTTGATTCTGGAGACTCTAGAAAATTATAACCAAACAATATCCTAACTTCACAGACTGGCATTCAGGCAGTGAAGTTTTGTCTTCCTTATCTCAACAAAATAACAAATATTTCTCACTAAATAGGCACCTAAGCTAATTGAAGAAAATCTCTCAAATCTTAAGCAAAGGATTGTTGTAGGCTTTTTTAAAAATATATTTCACATAGTGAAATGTTTGATGTATTCCTACCCGCTGGTCAAATTGAAAGATTTTATTCCTGGGTAACAACAATCATTCCCTTTTTAAAGCACGTTTTTGACATGAATTTGTTTTCATTTCCCTTCACTCTGATGCCAGTATAATCCAGCGCAATCAACTTGTAGAAGTCACTTAATAAATTTGCAAATGGTCATCTAGAAAATGATGGCAAGCTAGCTGCATCATGAAGATCAACGAACACACCAAACAATTGAGGGATGAAGCTGAGAATGTAAAAGCAGGCTTGGGCTACAAAATATGATCTCAACCTCTGACACTCTTCACCAAGTAACCTTGATGCTGTAATTGTGACTAAAGGTGTTTTGATTGCATAATCATGCCAAACATTTCAGATTTGTAAAAAGAAAAAAAAAAAAACCCAGAAATTTGATACTTCATTTTCCTTCCTCTTCAAAAATATACACCACTTTGTGTTGGTCTAGCACTTAAAATCCCAATGAAATGCATTGACCTTTCTGACTGTAACATGACAATAAATGGAGAATTTAAGGGATTAGATTATTTTGCAAGGCACTGTATGTAAAACTTGAGTAGAAGTTGGAGAACTTAATTTTTTCTGAATAAAATGTCATATCTTAGTTTATGAGAGGCTGGAATTATGCGGGGGGTTTTAAAGAAAGGAATCTGAAACGACAAAAAGAGGATTATGTCATCACTTCAGCAAAGATGATTTTGCACATACTATTTATGCTTTGCATTGGCCTCGTATGATAACATTCACCTCTTATGTTTTCAGACAATCAAGCAAATTATTTCCTTTCAGAAAAATTTGTAATGTCAAAACTGTAAAGTTGTTTCTTCTCTTTGTCCCCATTCACATTGCAAGTAACCTTTTTAGAAGAAAAAGCAAAATTTTATATGCACCAAAGCATCGCAAGCCAATATAGAGAAGCAACAAGAGTTGCAATTTTTGGTAAAATTTTATAAAACAAGAGGGTTAGAAAATAATAATGCTTAAGTTTGAGCAGCAATCATTTGGATGCAGGAGTGCAAAAGGCACAAGCAAGACATTGAGAACAAACAAATTTACAGTGTTGAGAGGTTTTTACTACACACTAAGGGGTTGAAGCTCTAAAGGGAGCAAAAGATAGTCTTGCTTAAGTGGCAGGAGAGTCTTTACAGAAAGGTAGAAATAAAAACAAAGGAAGATTTTAGGCGTAGAAAAAGTGCTCGGGGTTGCAGTCCGCTTGCAGTTCTAGGATCTGTAAAATGTTAAACTAATGTCGGTCCATGCAGACAAACGCACACGCCTTACGAAGGAAAGCCGCGTTTTTCTTCACGGCTCCACGCAGAGAGAGAAAATGTCGACCTTTACCTGGGGACAGATAGTATGGCTCAACAGGACAAACACACACGCACACACTTGTATTTAACGTAGAGTGAGCTTCACATCAGCATTTCTCCTCCAGACAGCATGTGTGCATGTCAGAAACCAGGTGCAAAAAACATTTATTACACCGACATTTCTTCATTTAAACCATAGTTTTACTTTGAAAAAAATGAATATGATTGCTGCACTGTTTGTTCCGCCGTTGAGTAATAAAATTTTTCTATCTGTGTTTTATTTACCTAAAGTTCTGCTGTTTTGCATAGAAAGAAACACAATAAAGGCCAGAAAGAATGTTTATCTAGATTTCTATAGATGAAATCCAAGAAACAGTTTCTTACTGAGAGCTACACAAGGTTGTTTTTTTTTTTTTTGAGAAATATTGTATTTTTCTTTTTAACAATTTCCTTTATTGTATTCTTTTCATTGTGTAACACTTGCATAATGGATTCATTGTCTTCTAAATCACAACATAACTCTTGTAATGTAGAAAGATAACATAAAATCTTGCAAACATTGTCAGTAACTAAACCAGAAACAGAACATGCAAAGTGATGCAATAAAATACATAAAATTCATATTTTAAACAATAGCTGCAGAATTGCTGTAGCTCACTTAATTGTAAGCGATGAGGATAAATGAAACCCGCAGTCTTCTCTGCCATTTTATTCATATGCACAGTTACATCCGCATACACACACACAGCTTTTTAATAAAGTATTTTTTATGCTTTCAAAGAGTAATTTTATATTTTACAGTCATCTTAAATTTCTGACGACTATCACCGAAAACAACCTTCTCTTTCAAAGTCATTGCAAAATAATTATTTATTGTAGATATTTCCTGAAAGTAGAGCTGGTGTTACATTTAACATGACACCAGCTTCAATAAAAAATGTATCCAACAAGTTTTAGGAGTAGAATCCAAATGTATCCAGTGAATAATAAATTAACTTAAAAATGGACAGCAACAGTCTGCTACCAATACCAACCAGTAGCTGGTTGATAAACTTAACTGGTACTTGTGATTGAAGTGAGAATGAAGGTATTTCTCAGTGATTTGTCTCATGATAAATTACTTAACTCATCTGCAAAAAGCAGCTGAAAGACTCAACTTTAGTTTTATAATGTTCAAACCAAAGCATGATGATTAAGAAGCAAGAAAAACTGTAAACAAGCCAAATTTAAACATCTTGGGTTGAAGACTGGAGGAATCTATTATACAGATGATGCCAAATGTTTACATACGCTCTAAAATGAAACATAACCCTATTTTCTTATTGTTTGATATTAAACCATACTCATCAATTTCTGCTTAGTTTAGGATTAACAACATATTTCAAATTAAAGTAATAAAATTCTCTTGGTAATGATCTTACCAGCTTCAGACAGCATGTTCACAAGTTCTTTAACTTTCGTTCTGCTGTTTAGTCACACATTTCATTCCAAAACCTGCTAACCTCTGTGACACCGAATATGTACATGTTGTAAACACTCGTATAATTTAAACAAACGTTCATCAAAGACACATGGCGTAAACAGAAAGGGTATTGTACAGGTCGTGTTAGCCTGAAGAATTCATGGAAACATGCCACAACCACACATACCATCCGGAGAATCAGCAGTGAGTGAAACAAACAAGCTTTCTGGTCTTCATACAGAGGTGGACTGGGAACCTTCATATGGGACTGGCAATGCCTGTGGATAAAAAGCATGCGACAAGACGGCAAAGGCGGAGAGCATGCAGGTCGCATAGAAAAGGCCCAGCATACGCAATGTGCTTCTGAGATGACCAGGGACCAGTGACGTGCAGTGAGGTGCAAAGCTGGTGAGGCACCGACTTAATCATAATCGGACATAAAAATGTAGATCACCTACAAATAATAACATGTGATCTTTATGTTATTGTTTAAATAAGGAAATTTTGCCCATGTGGACAACGCTTGAGTGTGAAAAGACGATCCTTTAACATGCCATCCACAGCCGCGCTGCCACTGTTGTAGAATAATTAAATGAAACTTGGAAATGTAGTTATTATTAATTCTGTGCTGTGCTCCACACCAAAAGGAAAAAAAACGTTGAAGTCACAATGTCTGGGATCATGAGCGCCTCCTGCTCTGAGGCAAGAGAACAGCCTGCCTCACCTCGAATCTGTTCTCTGCCTTTTACGATCGCTCCTCAGTACAGGAAACACGTTAAACACACAGTTAGTGACAAAAACACTGTACATTATGTGCATAGGCTAAATTATGGAAAGTCAGTTCATATATTAAACACAAACTGAATGGCAGTGCAGTTAGCGAGAGGTTGTGCAATCCCAGGCGAGGCTCAGCTTTCTGCTGCCTCACCGGCTTCGCTTCCAAGCATTTGAATGGGAAAATCCAAAAATTCAGCGATTTTTGAAGAAAATATAATCAAACTTCGGTTAAGCTAAATAAAATAATTTATATTGCTATTTTCGTCCTTTGGTTTGTACTGTAAAATTTTTATTTTTCATTTTATTTTTCCGTTATGACAGATGAGGCTCTGCCTCAATTGACTCCCCTGACCACATGTCACTGCTTAGGACACATGCTAAACTGCTGCGATGACACAATAAGACACAGTAATTGCATTAGTTCTAATTAGTTCTGCATTTCCCCCTTTTGGAATCGCTAAGTATATTCAAAAGGCTGCTGCAGAAGTGAGCCGAAGCTTGAAGACAGAAAAATGATAAGACCTGTGATAATCAGTACTGCAGTGATTACAACAAAGAAAAAGAAAAACTGGAAATCATTAGAACAAAACCCTGGTTATTTCCAATTAGCTGAATCCAATTATAAGCCCCTGGGATGTTTTAGAGAAAATGGTGGATCAACACAAAGCCTTAAGCAAAGAGAACAAGAGAGGAATTTCTGTTTCTGACAAATACACTCATCAGGATATGGTTTTTGAGAATTGAACTGTTTGCAGTTCTACTTGAGAACAATCTGCTGTTCATCTTAGACCAACACAATTACTGTCAGGTGAGGACATTTTGAATGATTTTCAAACCACATTCATCCACACACTGTACATCTGATCACACCTGAAACCCTTCGAACGTTTTCCCACTAATACTATAATAAACATGCTGACAATGGCAACTGACTCGTGCAAGTGTATCCGTAATAAACACAAACACGCATTCATGCTACAAAAGCCTAGTGCAAAGTGCACAAGCTACACATTTGTTGATCTTTATGCACGGATGGTACAGTGCTTTGCATTAAGACCTTTTTAATGTTACAACCATATCAGCATCAATGTAACAGTATCATTTGTATGTATTCTGTATAGTGCTTTGCAAAACACTATGTTGGCTAAAAAAACAGCCTCCACACCACCTTATATATGTCATAGCCAATATCAAAGCCTTCATGGAAAAGGAGTTTTGCAATGCACTGTTGATAAATGGTCAAAGGCATGATATGTCTTATAGACACGTGCACATATGTTTTTTTTTTTTTTTTGTCTGTCAGTTTTTATCATAAAGTCTCATCTTTTGGAAAAGAGTTCTGGTGATAAACTGTCCCAGGGCAGCAGAAACAGTCTAATTCATCAAACAGGAGGAGCATCCATCCATCTTAGTGATGGAGGCAAAGCAACTGAAATATTAAGTGACTTGATTTTTCTCCTTCACAAACAGAAATATGCTTAATCCTTTTGAAGTGCAAGTTTTGACCATAAAAACCTAGCATTTCGTCCTCTCAACACTTGATGGCTTGTCCAATGAAATTAATAATTCAGTGTTGCACTGTATCAATATTGATATGAACAACATTAGAAATTTGTGGCAATGTGGTGATTTTAATGCAACTGTTTATTTGTGACAAATAGCTCAACCTGAGCTGATTTGGTTTTGCCTGCCTGATGAGCACGGACCGGTAAAATGGTAACACATGAAGCTTTATTTTCTTGCAAACTGGGTCACTCTGTCTGAGACCATGTTAATTCACTGAAATCCTCAGAAAGCAAATATCATCATTAGATTAATCCATTCTCTTTTCCACCCATAATGTCATCAGTGTTTTGTTTGTTTTCCTTCTTTTGAAGACTGAATCACCAGCTCGGCAAAGAAGGTGTGTGCAGACAATCCATGCTGTCTCTGTGTAATTAGTTTTCATTCATTTCAAGTGCATGCAAGCTGTGATTCAAGCCTCCAAAAAGAAAAAGACCCTTTCTCCTTTTCTCATCGTCACTCTGACAAGCTGAATTTAAGCTTTTGATGTCAGTCTTGCAGGTTAGGAGGCTGTATTTCTCTGCCTCTTGAAGCAGGGATTACTTCTAGAGAAACATGCGTGGCTGCCTCTCTCTCCAATCGGGTGGCAGATTGAAACTGGGTGTTAATTTGTGGAGTGCATTTTTCGAGGTGTATACTGTCAGAACGTACATATGAATGAGTAGGTGCAGGATTGTGTTTGAGTGTTTGAGAGAAAAAGAGAGAACGGATGCAACCACGGGCTATAAGCTGCAGCATGACACATTCCAGTAATATCTAAAATCACACGAGGACTTTCAAGCAAACAGTATTTGTATTTGTCACACACTCAACAATCAGAAAGTCAGTTGATTTTTCTAAACTTTGCCAGAAATATTTCTTCGATGGAACGAGATCTGGCAAAACCTTTACAAATCCATGCTTGCACACAACGTTTCTCCCAACTTTTTATTGCGCTTAAAAACACGTGCACAAAATGACACCGAGCAACCAGAACAAGGTGAAATGTTGGCCCGTTTGTTGGTTGAAATGAATTATTGTACTGCAGTACTCACAGTTTCTGGGTTTGTCATCGTCCAAGCCCTCCTCTTCATTCTCTGGGTCGATGTCTTCAGCCTGAGTGATCCAGTCTAAATAGCCCTGCGATTGGACAAATAAATGCAAAGACGCGGAGAAGAAGTCAATGGGTGTAACAGTGGATCGGGCAATATGCATAAAAACAAAGCATTGACTAGTTAGACAGGGCTTTGAGGAGTATTTAGTCTCTTTGAACTTGTTCCCTTTTTGCAATGCAATTTAAGATTGGGGTAAAGTACAAATAAATATTGTTTTTTATTTTTGCTTGTGGCATGGAGGGGTTGGCTGGATGTGCATTTGCATGCAGAGTTTTCAGTTTTTTCTTCTTTTTTCATTTTTAATTAGCCTTCCTACTCAGCAGCGTTCTGCTTTATGTTGGTCATAAAATACACTGAAGACGTTCATGGGCTACAGATACTTTCACAAGATTTAAAAACGGTTTGAATTTCTCTTCCTTTGAATTTGGCAACCTATTCAATAAAAGTGACCTCACAAGAATTAATTCTTATACTTTGAAGCTAAATCATGTTTTAATTTTATTTTGTTTGAAAGAAGGAAAGGACACTGGAGTGTTTAAATCAATAAATACAACACATTTCCGCACTTTAGCTAATGAGTGACTGAGATCAACACTTAGTACTCAAACACAGCAGCCCACCTTAAGGTCCTCCTCCAGTTGCTGTTTTTCTCGTAGTTTCTGGAAGTCACCACGTGCTTTGGCTTTCTCTCTTTCCTTGGAAAACTCTCTGGGAGGGGGGAGTCAGGGTAATGGGATGGGGTTATAGGTTCAGGGAGGAAGAGAGAAGAACAAAGAAACGAAAGACAAGAAGAAGAATCTGATAATCCAGAATGAAAGTTTTTGGCAAACGTGAGATTACTGTGTTAACTAGTATGATGCAGCTTGCAGCATAGGGGAGGGGTGGAACAACCTGCTGAGGAAAAGGCAATGAGTGAAGGAATAAAGAGGTTAGTGTGCAAATGAAAATGGAAAACCTGAGCTTTTAGGCTCCCAATAGAGTCAGCTTTGAAGCGAAACCTTAAAGCGAAGAGGAACTTGGCTTTGGATAGTTAAGAAAAAAAAAAAAACAACAACTTCGGTCTTCCACCTCTGCTGTGATTCACCTGTACCTCCTTAGCCTTTAGATCTACTTTTACAAGCTTTGCTTTGAATTGTTTCTTTGATCATGATTAGGTTTCCATCAAATCAAAGAATTTAGTTCAAGTCCAAACAGTTCAAGGCGGTTTGCTTTCCATGATACAGTGCTTACAGATTTTTTTTTTTTGCTTTTATGTCACATCCAATTTTTATATTAGAAAAGATAGTTTGCTTTTATGTAAAATATATTTTTCAAATGAGTAGCTAACTGAAAATCATCACTTTTTGGAACAAAAAGCTGTTTTTCTGACCACGCTTTCCTGGCACTTAAACAAAACTGATAATATAAAGTAGGCTAAAAGCAAGTTGTTGAGGTCTAATCTCTCTTGCATGTTTTTATGATTATTATAACATATTGTCATGTTAGAAAATGATAGACAGTGAGGTGCCGTTACTTTAAAAAATATCAATTTATTAAAGTTAATTGAAAGAGCACCTTTCAATCAGGTATAATGCACATAATCTTTATAGACAATTTTGGTCTCGACTTTTGAAAGCTTATCAGAAGTTTACCTTACAATTCTTTCTAACCAGAAAGAGAAGTCAAACTTGAGGTATATTAAGATCACCAGCCTTTTTTAAGTAAACAGAGAATGATTAAAGTGTTCCAGGATTGGGCCAATTGTCCTTTTTAAAATCAAAATATGCTAATTGTTATGAAATCCTTTGCCAAAAAAAACTCCAAAAAAACAATGTCTTTTTTTTCTACTGTTCTCTGAAATTGCAACTGCACATATCATTTTGGCTGGGTTTAATCATGTAAAGAAAATCCAATGTAACAGCAAGTCGGTCAATGATTTGTGTTTATTTTCTGTCCAGTACAAACAGTTTTGATTGATGCACTTAGCAGGAGTCTGATCAATAAGCCAAGCACATTAGATGTAAACCGTGACACCAGCTAATTACTAATCAACAGTAAACCACTGTCAAAAACACATTTCAAATATATTCTTAAAATTAAGCTTAGAGTTTAAACACGTTTTTCATTGATTTGTTTATTTTGCAACACAGGATGTGGGAAAACTTGAAGCCTCCAGATCTCCACCTTTTAATCTCCCCATCAGCCAAATTACTCAGTCATAGTGGTAATTAAAAATAGAATTAGACATTTTTCATTAATGGTTGGTTTGCCAACTACTAGGAAAAAATTTGCAGGATTTATAATCTGTTTTGTGGTATGCTTAAGGCTAATGACCACTTGAAATACATATCTGTGGCCAAACTTCATCTTCCTGGCTCATCCTGCTTCCACATTTCCACATAGTGTTTTTCCCCATGATGCCAGGTGTTATGTGAACATAACTTTTCCCTCGTGCTGCAACTGAAAACCAGAACAGGAGGCTGAAACCCTGGTACTTGAGAGTAGAGATGGTATTTTCCTGTATGTATCTCGTTTCCCTCAATTGCAGTTTTATCACAGCTATGTCTACAAAAAGGTCTTTGCGCTTGAGTCGATTTGCAAATTCAGTGACTTAGTAGAAGTTGTGCATTTGTGGATTGGTATCAAAATTCCTCCACAAATGTGTCTCCATCAAAATTAAATGTTAGAGACTATGAACTACCTTTCAAAAACCATGACATCATCATCTATCTATTTTTTAAGTGAATGTAAATATGTATATATGTGCATTTGTGAGTATTAAAACTTCAGGCTTCATGCTTATTTTCTATTCTCTCTGCATCCTTTTTCTGTTTCTTGTCCTCTTTTGTGAATTCACATCACTTTGTTCTGCTGTTTCATGTCGCATTATATGCCGAGTTCCACTCAATGTTCCTGTCTCCAAATTGCACTGTAGCTGTTCTTGTTCCTGCCTAGCAATTAGTTATAATGCCAACCTGAGATGCCAATGAGAAACCAGTTGGTAAAAGGTCAGGCTGTGTAGTGTGCTGACAGCATCATTACTCAGAGGTTTAGACAAAGTCAGGACGCCAAACCAACCACAAGCTGTTTGGACCAGACAGACGTCTACTACTTTTTCCTGCACGTAACTAGGAGCTTCAAGTCAGATGTCATAATAAACAAAAGAGAAATGGTTCTGAAAGTAATAAAGCACAAACTTACAGAATTTTATACACTCAAAAAGAATTAGATTTATAGAAGCGCTTACTCTAGTCGTGCCAAAGTTGGGTTGAGCGGCTCACGTAATTACATGTTTAACAAAGTCCTACCAGCAATTGACAAAGATGTAGATTTTTTTTTTACCACAGGGTTGCTTTCTTTATTTTATGTGACTGTTTCCTGTATCAGGAGCAGCAGTGCTGAGTACAGACCTTTTCTTGATAGTAGTTATATTTCCCAAAAACAGCAGCGCTGTAGTAACAGAGACAATACCCAAAAGGTCTCTGTGGTCTTGAGGCAGAATCACAAGTGATTCTACTACAGTCAGCTAAAGTCTATCAGCAGTTTACATTGTTCTCTTGGGAAAAGTCCAGAGCCTCAACTGTAAAGAGCTGTGATGACAAATCTACACTGGATTGTAAAATTATTCATACCGCTTGTGTCCTTTCATAGTTCTCACTTTTACAAGCACAAACTTCTATGTATTTTATGGAGATCTGATGAGATGCATAACACAAGGTAGTGTGTTTTCTCACTTTATTGACTTACTAAATAAATAACTTTTAAAACAAGTAGTTGCACTTGGTTTCATGTGTTTGACAGAGTAAATGGGGTGAAAATGGAAATTTTTTTTTTAGCCTATCATAAAATGTGAACAAAATATGAAGCGGTTTGTGCATATAATGGGACAACAAAAGACTTACTTTTGTAAGGCTCACATTCATTCCCCCATATTCATGTTGTGTTTATTGAAAATGTCAGAATACGTAATAAGTGAGCCTCTAGTCCAGAAACTAAACTCTCCGTCTTCCCCAGAAACACAGCAGCAAGGGAGGGACAAGTTGGTTTTAAATCATCTCTTTTCCGCCCTTACCCGCTCAACACCCCCAAAACCAAGTTTAGCACAAAGAAGGAGCCGATGATGATTAAGGTCACAAAATAGACCCAGGGCCACCTGTAATCTACTGCGTCATTCACCTAGGAGATGGAGCATGGAAGAGGAAATGGTCCAGGGACAAGAAAGACAAAAAAAGAAAGATGACGGGATAAGAAGGACAGACATTCATGGGGAAAAAAAGGGAAGAAGAAGGGAGCAAGGGAAGGAGTTAAAAAAAATAAAAATTAAAACAGATGGAGTGGTTTCGACTTTGCGGGATTCAGAGTAAGAACATAAATGACCAACATGGATGTTAAAAATAAGTGTTTCTGTTTCCTTAGTTAAAAACTTGCATGAAAAGCAACCTTTGTTTGAGTTTACAATATACAAGATTGCTATCTGTCTAAAAGCGTTGTATAAACACTATTTTTCTCAGGTTTATTCCCTGTTGAGGAAAAACGTCTTTATTTAATTAGACACATGAACAGACTGTGCAGCAAGACTCCCAAGGATCGGATATATTTAGCCTGCATGACAAAAATGTTAATTCTCCAAGACTCAAAGATTGCAAAATAATTCAATTCAGGAATAAAAAACAATAAAGAATATTTTTAATCAAATTGGTTTCAGTTGCACACTTGATTAAATTAAAAGTTTCATATTTAAATGAAATCTTTACGTAACCCGCTGTGGTAATTTTATTATAATTGTTAGGATTATTACTTGTGGGAGATTTGGAAAATCTTAAAATAAATGACTAAATTCTGTTGTTCCCGTTTAGTGTTTCATAATTAATTCCCATGATTTCTATCTTTAATGTCACATTTCCTCCATACTCCACTCTGGCCCCAGAAGAATCCCCCCAACCCCCTCCTGTGTTTTCCCTGCAGTGCAAGACTTTTTAGCGTTCCACCTCAATGAGCGACCTGAGGGGTGAATTATTTATACCCCCGTGTGTCCTCCCAGACCGGGAGGTGCTCTACTCGCACTGAAACGGTGCGACTTGGCAAAGAAGAGTAAAAAAAAACCCACCAAGGTGGAGCTGTACTTGGAGAAGAAAAATGCAAACATGCAGAAACTTTGTAACCCTTCGTACTATCAGATGAACCTCATGTGCACAACACGATGAGATTAATTTCACTTTTTTGGGGGGTTAAGAAAGCAAAACAATGGAGGTCACTTATCAATGAACAACAAAGCTGGTGTAGTCAAACTGAAAGAACAAATCGAGCCTTGGGGGGCATTTGTGTGCCCATGTGTACGTCACATACAGGTTGTGACAGGAACTGGCCCCAATGCAACCATCTGACATGAACATGATAGATTGGGACCCATCTTTTCTATTTCTGCATGGCACATGTGTTATTCTGCCATGCTTGTGGCTAAAGGCTAAGCAATTATTTATTGGACTGATCATCTTCATTTATGTTAGACTAGTGCAAAGAGATTATTGTTGAAAGCTCAAATTGTGATCTATTTTTTTTCTGGGTATATTCTACCAAAGCTATAGGAACAAAACTATTTAGTTTGGATTTGGTTTTGGATAAAAGAGGAAGAATAAAAATCTATGTTAAAATGAAGCTTGGAGAAACAAAAAAGAAAAAGTTATGACTTTGCAGGACAGAATAGTTTTCCATGGAGGCAGATCAGCTTTTCATTAAAGCTGCCACTGAGGAGAGCTTGACTCTGGTGACTTTGTTCCTTCACCTCAAACTACTTTAGCAAAGTTTTTTGGGGTTGAGAAAAGGTCTCTCTCCCACATATTCAAAACATCTCTTCCAATTTGCCAGTGGGCGAATTGATCCAGAACAAACTTCAGCAGATAGCAGGAAAGCTGGACATTTTAGAAAAGATGTCAGTCGTATAATTTTACTGAGTTTTTAAAATGTTGACAGAGTTGTAACAGTCTACATACTCTACCCTGTGCATCACCCACTGAGCGAAGTTCAGGCTAAATGTCGACCTCATTCAGACATGAGTCAACGCTGCGTCTAGATTTAGTTGTGATTCAGACAAAAAATATAATCCAAGCAAAAAAACTTGCCCAAAAGGTCTGTACGCTGAATCATGCAAAAATGCGAATAAGCTTTGACCGAAAGTCAAAGATGGCTTTGTCTCGTTTAATTTAAATGGATTTCGTCCTGTTTTCACTTGTTAGAGAACAGAAAGTAAGTTTAACATTTTTCATGGTTAAGAATTGAGATAAGTACGATTTATATACCATTCAGATATTTAACAGTCTTGATGCAGAGTCAGTTTCCACATTTGAAGCAATACACGAAGGCTCAGCTCACACAGTACACATATGTATACACATGACAACAGTATAAGCTCTTACCCGCTCAACACACCCAGAACGAGGTTGAGAACGAAAAATGAGCCAAAGATGACAAGAGAGACAAAATAGACCCATGGCAGCTCATAGCCCATAGCATCCTGCATCTGAAGGAGGAGAGAGGTAGAGGGGAAGGGGGAACGAGGAAAAAAAGAGAGGATTATCAGAGGGAGCAAGGGGGTCAAGATTAAAAAGGCCAGAAAGAAAGTGATGGATTAGAATAAGAAGGAAATGTATATGATGGTGTTTGGGACGGATCTATAAGAAAATAGTTGAGGCAGCAGAAGTCCAGTAAAGAATGTGTGTTAAAGTAAAGGAAAATGAAAAGCGTAGAAACAGGAAAAAAAAACATGCATGTTAATAAAAAGAGCTAGAAATGAACTTGTGTTTGAAGCCATAGCTAATCATATGTGACTAAACAACCACTTTAAAACATCTGCTGCAGCTGCTTAACATTTAACACTTCTTTTTAAAGGTATGTGTTTAAACAGCTGCTTCGTTACTTTGAGCCAACTGGACCTTGAAAGGCAAACCCATCTGTGACAGATGATTTGTTTCAGTACATGAATTTTGGGGAAATGCACTGCGATATATAATTTGGGACCGATCTGAGATGGAGTTGCTGTCAAAGGAATGTGGGCGACAGCTAACTGCTGAAGGGCTTCTGATGTAAACATATTCACAAAAAACAAAAATTGTTACAATATGTACCTCTTTTAACTGATAAAAAAGCAGCTTTTATATAGAATTTCAAGTTCTATCTATTTTATTTAAGATAGGTGGATGAAGAAACAATAAATTTCTGTCATTTGCTTTGACTGCAATAGCTGCTGCGTCTTCTTTCTTATACTTATTCATCTAGATAGCGCATGACTATATAAATACACTACAAATGTATGTCAGAGGTGCAGTTGGCCTTGTTTATTCTCAAACGCCCGGTGTCTTAATGTACTTGCAAGCTGCAGCTGTCAGAAAAGCAACAGAAGGGGTGTAGAGCTTGGAGGCTATCTGCTCCATGTGCATACATGTGCTCGCACCAATACAACTCACACACACAATACATACACACATTTTGTGTGGTACTAGCATTAAAATCGATGTTTAAGTTTTCAGAAAATACATTTTGAGAAAATAACTTTCAAAAAAATCAAGCTTTTTTTTTTAGCCTTTCATGTACTTTGCATATTAGTTTTGCGGTTATTCTCTGCCACCATTCTGTGCTCACTTCTAAACAACAGACAGTGCCATCAAAACACTTTGGTCCATTTTTCATCGATCCAAACATCACTAATATCTTTGTTGGCGGCGCAGCCGGTCTCTATGGGTTTTTACTGGAGACGCAGAAGAAGCAAACAAGCAGATTCACTCTTTATGCTTTGGCAGTGGGGACTCTGTTCCTCTTCTGCTTTTATATAAATGAATATTGGTGTGCTGATGTTACAGGCCAGGACAGGCTTGAACTGTCTGATAAGTTCTTCAGAGAGGATCATCAGATCTTCCCTCTACCCAGGACTTGTAAAGGTCTTGGGTTAAGACAAGGGCAACTAAGTCTTCTGCAAAACCCACACATCCTGGACACAAATCATTTAGACATTTATCTTTAGGACAGTGCTACATTTACTCAAACCAGCTGCCATAGGCTTACACCATGTACTGTTACCATGTACTTTTGCACAAATTCTGCTGTCCTCTACTGCCAAATGATCAATTGCGATGTATAAACCCAAGCATTACCCTTAAAAATATTTGATTTAGTAGTTTGTTGCTGAGTTCATGAGGACAAGGCAGTCTCCTTCACACTGATTTGTCTGCACAACAGACATAATCTAGCTTGGTGTGTGTGTGTGTTGAACCTTATTCTGTAATAAATCTTTGAATAAGTCTCTGCCTTTCTGCTACAGATATGCATTATGTTGCATGAGTATCTTTTCAAAAAGACTCTTGGTTGGTCAGTTTCAATCTAGTTCTTCTACATCAGGCACCAACATAAATCACAGTTGTGGTAAACGGCTCACCCAGTATAACACGTCCGTCCAGCCTTCCATGGTTATACACTGGAACACTGTCAGCATGGCAAAGGCAAAGTTGTCAAAGTTGGTGATTCCATCATTTGGGCCTTCCCAGCCCACTTGGCACTTCGTTCCGTTCTGCATGCAGTGCCGACCGTAAGCGCCGTCAGGTGCACATGGTGCTGGTTTTTCCTCTGCATTTGTACCTGCGACAAGAAGTCACATTTTGATCAACATAAAGTTGCATAAATGACTTTCCTGCGGAAAGCAAAACAAGTTCAGATTTTTATAAGTTAAATCTGATACGATATTTTGGCAGTTATCAAAATGTTTGATAATATACCCTCTAAAAAGTTTTTTGTCTTTTGCTAAAAGCATGAACCAAAATATCATTTTTGTTAGCACAATTGAGGGGATTTGTACTCAGCATTACTACTTATCTAAATCAGTCACTGTATATTGGTGAAAAACGACTTGATATTTAATTACATCAATATTATGTTTTCAGAAAACCAAAAAAGCTATCAAAAGTCCCATTTGTGTGATGATCACTTAAACCTCTTAAGTGCTTTCTTTTCTGCAACTGCTGCTATCAGGTATTTGGGATACCTGACAGTGAATCTTTTTCACATAGCCATATAGGAATTAAATGCTGAAATTCTGTTAGTTGTATTCCAGATGTAGCCCGAGGCAAATTTTTCAAAAAGTTTCACTTCTGTCTCATCAGTTCACACAGGATCATTGACATGTTTTGTTTCAATCTTAGTTGGACGTCTGTGTTCTTATGGGTCAGCGATGGGTTTTGTCTTGGAAGTCTGCAATGATTTTTGTTTGTTCATTTCCGATCTTGTTATAAATTAATAAACAACGGCCTTAGTTGGTGCAGCTGGAGTTCTTGTGCTTTAGATGTTCTTGTTTTTTTTTTGTCCTTTTGAAAAGATCTACAGTAATTGATTTGGCACACTGCTCCAAATTTGTCCGATTTGTGGATAATGACCCTCACTGGGGTTCACTGGACTTCCAAAGTCATAAAAATGGCTCAATTTATATCTGTTAGGTCATCATGTTACTTTTTGAGAATGCTCCACCTACTTCAAGTCAACAGAGTGGTAACGTTAAAGTAATTTTTTGCACTTCTAGAAATAGACCTTGCAGTGACTAGTGGATCTGAATGAAGTGTGTAATTGCAGTTATCTTATGATTTAACGATGAGAACATTTTGATTTTCATACAAGTCCAGGTTAGTTTGGACAACTTACTCTTAACAATGAAAATAATCATTTGAAATCTATATTTTATATTTACTAAAGCTCTCTAGAATAAAAAGATATGTTGTGTGTTGAAGTGAGAAACATGTAAATACGACCAAAAAGCAAAAACAGAAGAAATCTGTAAGGAGGTAATTCTTTATCTTAACTTTGTATTTTACAAACATAACAAAATATGTATCTTAGTCTCAGTTGAACAGCCATAAAATAAACCCAGGCTATGTGAAAAGTAGTGTTAAACTAATTATGGGAAATAAACCCTCCAGGGTGACGTATAGGAGAATAGTGTATCACCACTTAACCCATGCAAAGCTAATGCCTCTCCAGGGGCCCATAACACTCGAGTCCATTTCCATCCAACAACCTGTGCTAAAAGTTGCTTCAATCATTTATGACGGCTTCTGTTTCGATAATTGTTCGAATCATTCATAAAATAAATGATGTTGTGAATTATTAATTGAACTGTTTAAGGTATGCACTCTTTTACTCTCTGCCATGTGTTTCTGATGGATTGACTTTTTACTACAGATTGGAGTTAATACACAGTCAGCCTTTTAATGAGCAGGGCTGTGTGTTATTTATCCCCTGTGTTTATGAAATGATGTTCTCACTGCTTGGGCTTTTCGTTTGTGCTTGCGCCTACCTGAATGGCTGTAAATGCAGGTCTTGTGCATCTTGCCCATGAAGAGCTCCAGGCCGATGATGGCATAGATGATGATGACGAAGAGGACCAGGAGGGCAATGTGGAGCAGAGGAACCATGGCTTTGATTATGGAGTTCAACACGACTTGTAAACCTGCGGCACAAACATAATGCTAGCAGCAGAGTTTCGAAGCTTTATGTGACTATCCTGCCATTGTAACATAAATGGATCAACCAGGTAGGCTGGATAGGGTTTGATTCCAGCTTCCTCCTGCCATGTGTGGCCCTGGGCAAGAGCCTTAACCTGAAGGTACCTACCAATGTTTGAATATGCCCTGCTTCTGAGTGAGATTAGGTGATAATCTCTAATCATAGCGACTTACAACTCTAATGTAAGTCTCAGTGACTGGTGAAATAGATAAAGCAGACATAGAATGGGACTCCAGTGAAGTCTTTTGAAAAATTGTAGACTGTTAAATCTGAGTTGGTGCTGGAAAATCAATCAGTTTAACTCAGCTCTCTGCTTGTTCTGATCCAACATCCAGCCACAATTATGGCAGAAACTTTTTGACGTCTATTCAAAGCGTGATTTATCTCTTAAAAAAATATTAGTGACAATGCGTGTGTAAATTTGAGCATTTCTGTATAATTCTGAATCAAATTGATGATGGAAGCTTAGGTCTAGTTTTTAAAAAAAAAAAATTGTTCATTAAAAAAAATTCCTTGTTTGATTAAAAAAACAGAATTATATGAAACTAAAGTCTATGATGAGTAAATGTTGATTGACGAGGGTCAGTGGAGCAGGTACACAGTCTCCTTCATTCATTCTTGTTATGAATTCGCCTTATGCTTACTGCTTTTTGTCCCCTCTACCTCTATAATAAGCAATTTGCGGTTGGCAAAATACAATTACAATCTAGACAATGTGAAAGTAATCTTAATATACAAGTTTTGTGTATCCATTGAAACAACTTCTTATATTGTCTCATTCAAGTGTAGCAGTTCATTTGTGTTGTAGTGAATATTATCATGCCGACGCCTACAATTTTGCTGAACTGCAAAAATGCCATCAATGATTCAGAACATTTTAATAGGTTCTGGAACTTGTTGCTTTATTCACAGAAGACAATATAGTTTACCAAAGATATAAAACTTTTATTAAAATTATCCACTTTATTCCTAAGTTCTCTGAACAATCTCTTAGGTCTTTAACTCTTGAGTTTTTGTAGACATTAATTATTGCATAAAAAATACAGTCGAGAGCATGTTAGCGAAGCAATGTGCTTATCAACATAAATTATTGAGTTGCGATGACACTGAATGGGTAGAAAGGATTTTATCTAAATCTGTTGAACAGTGCAAACACTTTACATCGGATAACAAAGGGTATAGTTGCTCACAAACACAGACCCTTGCATCCTTTTTGCTCACAGTTCCTTTTGTGTCACATAACCTTCTAAATCATCGATTTCTCTACTTTAATAGATTGATAGAAAAGTCATCTGTTGCCCAAAATGTCTATATTTTTCAAATGGGACAAACTCACAGTATCAGCTCCAATATGAGGTTCATTTCCCCCGCCAACTCGCCCAATAACCCTTCACATCGTATCCCTAGACCGCAACGTTTAGTACTTACTGGGTACTCCAGAGACCAGTCTGAGCGGTCTTAGTACTCTGAATGCCCGCAGAGCCTTGACATCGAAACCTGCTGCCTTCCCTCCAATCGGAGTGGCCCCATCTCCCTTTGTGGCCTGCTCCAAAATCGCGCTGAATAACCTGTTGGACAGAGCAGGAACTTCAGCAAATATGTTAAGTACAACAACAAGACATCAGAAGACGATGGTGACATAACTGCTGCACTTTAGACAAACCTCATTTTAACAAGAGCAAAGTGAAGGTTTAAAAATTAATACTCATGTCTACAAATGAAACAGGATCAGCGGTTATTTCTCTTTAGGTCTTCACATATCAGTGCATAAATTGCAACTTTGACAAAACAAAGCAAAAAAAAAAAAAAACTGCATTTTTAAACAAAAGCTGTTGCCTTTCATGTGCCGTTGCCTTCAGTTAGCCATTATCCCTGTTGTTGTTTAGCGATGTCTCTTCGGGCCAAGTGGCTAACATGCTTGAATTAATGTACATCCAGCTGAGTGCAACATCCTTCCCCCCCTCATCCCTTTTTTTTTCTCCATGATTGTGCTGTTGAGACTCTCTAGAAAATACTAGCTAGCTAAGCTCAAAGGCCAGTCAGTGGTGTGTTAGTCATGGAGAATTATCAATTAGCAGAGATGAAATGGCCACTTGAAAGGGCCTCTCAAAACATGCGGCCCTCTCTGCCTCTCTTTCTCCTTCTCTCTCTCAGACTCTCCATTTGATTAACTCTGTGTCTAGGTGGGAAGCGCGCCTTTTTCATTCAGTCTGACGAGCACGTCGAGGATTAACGAGTTAGCAACACCAGCATTTCATTTCTTATTAATTAGAACGTTTGCGTCGTAAGGGTCAACACACATCCACAGCCAAACACTCGATCAGCTGTTTCCATTTAAAGAGAAACGGCAGGTTGTGAGGTGTTGTCGTCAATAAAGTTTCAATGCTAAGTACATTTAATACAGATTTTCCCCAGCAAAAAAAAGCTTTGCATCTGCTTACGTAGAGTTATAGTCGTTGCTTTTGTCTGACAGTTCACCTTATTTAAGTTTATTCAAAAAAAAGCAAAAAGGAGAGAAGAAAAATATGTCCTGAAGAAAAAGCCAGGGGACTACCTGTTCATTTACACACACACGCACTGATCCTTCATTAATAGCTTTTTAGGTATGTGTCAGCAACAGTGTGGCCTGTAGCAACTGTGTGTGTGTGAATGCGGGCGCATGAGTCCCGAGGCTGCTCAGCACCAGGTACAAGCTCTTTCACCCATATGGTGAGTATTCCAGAGGGAGTGAACTCTTGTCGCTTCCCATCTATACACACAGACACGCGCACGCACACATGCAGTTTAACACTCACATGCATGAAGATGAGCGCTCAGCCATGCACATAAAGAGAGACAGTCCTGTCACAGCTGAATGTTTCTAGTGCAAGCGTGTCTGTTTCTGCTTCACAACGTTTCAGTTGAAGTTGTTTTCCTTTTAGAACATCCTAGGAACATTTGGCACATTTAGTCACCAAAAAAAAATTTAATTATTAATGAAAAAATAAAATAAAAAATTTCACATGTTCATCAATTTGTTTTTAAATTAATTTCTGGAAATGAAAGTGATTCAATTACAGATAAACAATTTGGTTTCCTGCATTAAACAAAATAGATACAAAACTGTGTTTTTAATACTTGGGGGGGGGGGAAACAGCCGCTCACCTATTAGATAATATTTGTTTGAAATAGCTTCAGTGAGATGTTATTTCACTGGGGAAGCCACGTTTTTAATCAGGGGTGCCCAAAGTCAGTCCTTGAGGGCCGGCATCCTGCATGTTTTAGCTCTCGCTCTGGTTTAACACACCTGGATCCAATGATGGCTCCTTAGAAGGCCTAAGAAGAACAGCGACATGCTGAAAAGGTTGTTACTGCCACCAGGGAGAGATCTAAAACATGCAAGACGCCGGCCCTAAAGAACTGACTTCCTCACCCTGGTTTAAATTAACCAAAACAGCAAAAACATCTCCTAAAGTGTCCCTGAATAAGACAAATTGTGAACCTCTGAACTCCATGTTTCACTGTTGCAAGAAAAACACATATTTACTGAAGCACTTAACGTGTGACTGGCAAACAAACAAACAAAAAAGATGCTGTATCACAGTAAAATCCTAAATATAGCAAAGGGAGACAGAACAGAGAGGGGCAGATGAGGAGAGTAGATTGCTGGAGTGGGAAAGGTTGTGTTTATGCCGGGGGCAATGGTACCATGTTGTTGGAATGTGTGTGTTTTTTATGAGCGAGAGCCAAACGCGTTTAGTTAGTGATGTCTAATGTGAGTGAGCACTTGACTGGCAATGAAGAAGACTGGTTTAGAGTGTTTGTATCTGTGCTGGTGAAGCCTCCCCTCAGGCCGCAGGCCGCTTCCTCACCGGCTCTCTCTCTCTCTCTCTTCCTCTTGGAAGCACACACACGCTCACACACATACGCTCAATTAGACCATTTTTATGGCTTTAATGTATCTGTCAGGTCCACTGGCAGTAATGCAGAGACTATGCTGTACACACGGCTCAGCTGGCGTGAAGACACACACAAACACACACACGGAGAAAAAAAAAAAAAAAGCGAAGAGGCTTTAGCAGAGAGGCTGTGTTGGTGAGTTTCAGATAAAAGACAAAAGCAGAGCAGGGATTTGCTCTCAGCATCTCACAAGCTAATCAGTTTAGGCTGCATCAGTACTCTTCAGGCCCAAGTTTACTGGGGCTTTCATCGGCATTCGCAATGAACAAAATGAAGCTCGCTTTACCAAACAAAAAGCCATCTCTAGCATTGTAGTATGAAATACTTTTTGTGAGTTGCAAAAGTAGTTATACCTTTTCCATTTTTGTACTTTCTGTACATTTGTTTCTTGTGCGCGTAAAGATAAAATTCATTATACTGAGGCCTTCACAGACCAGCTGGATTCATACTGACGTTTGCAGGTCAGAGTAACCCAGAACATTCCTAACACATTTTAAACCAGGGGTGGGCAACCCTGGTCCTCGAGGGCCTCTGTCCTGTACCTCTTAGACATCTCCCTGGTCCAACACAGCTGAATCAAATCGCTGAGTCACTTTCTAAGTGCAGTCAAGTTCTCCAGAGTCCTGCTAATCATTTCATTATTTGACTCAAGTGTGTTGAAGTAGAGACACATCTAGAAGTTGCAGGACACCAGGCCTCGAGGCCTGGAGGTGCCCATCCCTGTTTTAAACCTTCATTTCTTGCATCGTTTATCTTCACTTACCCTACTACTACAATGATGAAGTCGAGCAGATTCCAGCCGTTCCTCAGGTAGGCGTTGGGGTGGAAGAGCAGGCCGTAAGCTATTACCTTGAGGAACGCCTCCACAGTAAAAATGATGAGGAACAGGTACTCCACACGCTCCTGTGGACACACAGAAAAGGCAAGGTCCACTCATTTATCAGAGCAGCAACATTGCAGGAAACGTATTACAGCATGAGAGAACAGTTAGTGTGCTTAAAGTATAACTTTTAAATTGAAAAAGTTCCCTGAATAAGGTACCCTAACTGTCCTGTTATATGCATGATTGTTTGAAGTCATAACATCGTTTTATTTCCAAGACATTTTTCAAAACTTGGGAGAACCAACAGTGCTGACCCCTTTATCTGCCTCTCTGAGTTTAACAGCCTGCACAAGATGTTCACTTGCTGTGGATCAAGCCTCTAGTTTGTCTACAATGTGTGTGTGTGTGTGTGTGTGTTTGTGCTTCATTATTTTTTTTTGTTTTAGCATGTATTTGTGTAACTTTTGGTCATGTACACAATCAAAACGTTTTGATTGTTTAATCAGAACAGCCATCTTCCGGTCCCTCATGGCCACTGTTTGATGCACAAATGAACACTCACACACACACACACTCACACACGCGCACACATTCAGTAGCTCTGTTTCTACCACAGCGTTCCTCGGAGATTGTTGTCACAGCGACGACCTCCTGCCTGAGGTCCTGAGAAATGTCCCGATATGGCTTTCTGAGGGCAGGATCATAGGACTTTAGATAAGTTGTAAACAATTCATCATCCACCTAATTATCTGTCAGAACTCTTTTATAGCTGCTAGTTTTGAGCTCGATCAAGACGTGCAAAACATGAATGTTCTATATTCAGCTATGTCAGTTAATAAAACATATTTAGCTACATCTGTCAATCCACTCATTCATCTCAGCCCCTGATCCCTCTCTCGATCCCACTCTTTTCCCATGGACACAAATGCACACAGGGCCAGAGGTTTGGAACAGAGGGCCAGCCAGGTCCCTCAAGGCGTAAGCCTGTTCTCCTGGGAAAAATCAGCCAGACCTGAACCTGAAGGGACGCAGCCTCTCTACATGTCTGGATATGCAATAATAGCTTTCCAAGCTGTCCAAGTTGGAAAAAACTGAAATAGAAATCAAAACAGCTGAAATGTAGGTGTTGTATCAATACAGTTATATGAATATACAGCTTATGTAGGGTGTACAAGCAATTTCAGCAGTACAAACCCAATAAATTATTTTTTTTCACCAGAAATGCATCAAATGAGATTAATAGTAGCCAAAATGCTAATTGCTTTTTTCTGCTGTGTGGGAAGTTTTTTGTGTTCAAATTTGGACATTTGAACAGTAAACATGTAAGAATGTTTTTATACTGGTGATTTTGTTCCAATTTTTTTACAACATTTCATTCTCCCAATGAATGCAACTCTTGAAGCAATTGTGGGGAAAAAAATAATCAACTATTAAAGTTTCATTCTCTGCAACACCAATTAAATATACACATTAATTTTCTGTCTTAAGGAATTATACGCTCTAGGCGCACAGGCTGAGAAAACAAATTATGTATAATAATTGGTGCTCATAAGAATTTAACATGGCTGCTTTTCTAAGTTCCTCTGGTAAGTAGCTGTACTACTATGCTGAAGATCGCTTGTATAATAATAAGAGAAACAAGCAAATAATGCTATGATGTTTATTTATTTTCTACTTTATAAAAGATGCATAATTATCAAATATTTTAGCATGTTTTATAGAGAAAAAAAATGTTACTCTGTGGGTCGGTTTGTGTGTCTTACAAAGTACATTTTTAGAGCAGGTAAAAAGAATTATCTGCCATCTGCCATGTATCTGCCATCCAGCCATTGAACATCCAAGACAGTGTAGTTTTCGCTGTTTAAGTTAGTCAGTCCATGTATTTATTTAGACATAATTTTTTTTATGTATGTTGTGTCCAAAAGTAGCATAAACAAAGATGCTGAATGTCAGACAAAGTTAGTCAACTTCAACAAGTACCATCCATCCGTCCATGAGAAAACTAATCTACTGTACACATTACGAGAGGTTATTCTCCCAAGTGGGAAATAAACTCCTTCTAAGTAATGGACAAATAAAATCTGCCTTGTTGTTGAATTAATTATGATGACAATTACTCTCGCATCACCAGTCAATGTCAACACATAAATCAGCAGCCTCGATGTAAAGTTAACATTGACGTTTGTTTACACAAGTTACCCTGAGATTGGTTCTTGGGGCTGATCTGAATCTAAAGCAGTTCCAGAGAAAACAAACAAATATGTCGGAGCTTGGAGAATGACTCCATCACAGCAGTGCCAGGTCTGAGTCAAGAAGTGGCCCTGCATTCACTACAAAATGAGATGATGAAAACAACACACCAAAAGTGAACAAATTAATGTTGAAAGAATGCTCCGGTTTACATTTCCTGCCCTTATTTTTGTATTTCCTCGATAATCTGGAATTTAGATAGGTTTCCTGATATTTGAGTAATTTGGACAATATAAATAACTAAAAGACAGAAACATAGGTGTCTCCCCAATGCTTTTGCACTTTTTAGAAACTGAAAACAATCATGCACTGATGATTTTATTCTCACTGCCAATTGAAAGTTTTTCCTTTTATCACTGGGCTTCTTTATCTTTGTGATATTCTCATATCAGCTTCAAAATCTGTCATAATTGATTTTTTTTTTAATATCCATCATTTGTTCTGATGACCCTTCTCCACACATGGTGCTGATGTGGAAGTAATTAATTTCTCAAATCCACACACTCACACATCCAGCCCTCTCACAAAGGCTCTCCGTAACATTCCCTCTTTCTTAAACACACACGGAGACACACACACACACACACACACACACACACACACACCAGTCCGTGTATCTGCTGGTGACAGGCAGACAGCGTGGCGCTCAGAAGAATAAAACAAAGAAAAACATCTGGTAGGAGCAGCTTCGCCTGCCACACACAAACACACACTTCCCTTCCTCCTTTCATTCCACTCATACAGACCCATAAAGGGAAAAATCCATAAGGGGCACTACTAATTTGGTTAGTGACAGGGATGGAATGAGAGATAAAAGATGAGAGACTGAAAGAGGGAGAGCGAATCAGGTGCGAGGAATAGAGGCAGACTAAAAGAGACAGAGAGGAAGAAGAAGGCAGACGGATCAACCGAAAGGTGAGTATGTGGGAGCAATAATTGAGTTAACTGTGATAGGTCAACCAAACCACCTATCCATCAACTAGACCAATCAGATTATAGTATTGACATTCTACCATAAATTGGGCTATGTTTCCATTTGAAATGACCCTCTGTGTTTGTGTGTGTGCTGGAAGACAGGATTAGCCATTAAGCTGCTTTTGAAAGATCCCACAGACCCATCATAGTCAGCTGCTGCTGTGTGATTGTCAGGCACTTTGAACACCAACCACTCTCACACATATGAACACAAAGCAGCGGGGGGCACTTCAAAGATAGCATTTTTATTTCAGAACTTAACCTCTCAACAAGTCCAAACTGCAAAGTTACCAGCAAATAATTGTCAGTGAGTAAATATTCTGTGTCTAGCAGGGCTGCAACAATCTCATGATGTTAAAACACCACTTGTCATCAATGGGAGGCAGGATTAAAAAGCACAGTAAGCCTGATTAGGATTTAAAATAACCTAAGTACAACAAGGTTTATGTTGTATATCATCAAATTGGTTTGATTTTGAGATTGGCACATCTGAAAAAGGTGTGTTGGTTGGTTCTCTCAGGAGATATGGATTAAAACTTATGCAATTAGTTGCTAGAAACTCGATGTTTGATTCAAGTCATTTAATTTAAAACAATTTGACCAACAAGTAAGGAAATATACAAGCTTCTAATTCACAAGGAAATATAGAATTGCATTCAGCAAACAGAACTACTTCTGGTAAACAGAAGTGGAAGAAAAACGTTTAATGTTTGAGTTTGCTGTCTGGACTGAATTTCATCATCTCAGTTTAATCCTTTAGCTTAATAATTAAAGAGAGCAAAAAATGAATTTGAACTTTGTATATAGTTTTAGTGCTTTCATCGCTAAGATCACATACTTTTCTTTTTTTAAAAAAACATACAAGAAAAATTAGACACGTCTATCCTCAGCTTTTGATTTTTTTTTTTAAACAAATGATTTAAGTCATATTTTGTTGTGTGGAAAAATATTGTTACACAGAAGTTTTACTTTTTAACAATTGTGGAGAGAAAATTATGGCGGGTTTTAACGATGTTGGCAGGTTCTTATCTTGCATTTCCAGCTGAGAATATCTATGAAGGGCCTCCCTGGCTCCCTATTAATTGATTTGATGTCAAAGAAATATTTTTCAAAAGAACACAGAGAGGTAGTACAGGATTATCAACAGAAGTACTGGCTTACTCACCTATGACAAACTGAGTCTTAGGTTCTTATCTTTCAGCATACCTCTGGGAGAATTCAGCACCTTGTGAAGCATTGCTTGTCACAACTCGATTTAATTCATTTTACAAAGGAAAAAAACAGTACATATATCACTTTATCTCCAAAAGTGCATCCTAAACTTGGATGCAAAATACACCTGAAGTACTTTTGTGAGCAGGCTTGACTTTCGGTTTCCACCCTGGTATATAAAATACTTTCTGCTCTTGTTACACTGAGCACTGTGAGCGTTCAGCCTTTTGTTGTCTCAGCCAGCTGGTGAACATTTAATTTTCTCAACTATTGTCGTTCTGAAGAGGGTCTCTATTTGTGTGCTGCACAGAGCAGCAGTGGATTTGAAACAGATACTGGTGCCTCTCTCTCTTACACACACACACACACACACACACACACACACACACACACACACACCCACACACACACACACACCGCGTTGGAATGAGATGTCACCATGCAACACATGGATATTTTAAAATAGACTTTCATCTCATTTTTGATTAATGTGAATGTTTTGATGCCCTGGAATGCATCAAAAGGAGTGCAGGAAACACCACAACCTTATAGAAAAGAAATTTCCTTGGGCTAAATTTAATTTTAGGGTTTCACCATCTGCAAGGCTTTATCACACTGTAAGCTGCTGTCATACTGCTTCTCG